GGAACTGTTAGCTTCTGGGACTAATGCTAGCAGGCGAAGTGAAGGATGGGTTGTTCACTCTAATGTTTCCAGAACATTTTAGTAGATGCTATCCTCTTTGCCACAAAACACCTCTTCCCCAGATTTGATAAGACAGTAGGCTACCTTGTAACTGGAATAGGGTTTAATTTTTCTCTGGCTGTAAAAATACCAACCATCTGGTGAACCGGAGCATGAGTTCAGGTGCTGAGCTCTCCCATCCCATACGCTGCAAAGGCAGGTGTTTGTGTCTGGGTTGCTTCTGGCCTCCAGAACTCTTAAGAGCTTTGTGTTTTAGCCCTGAGTTTAAAAAGATGAGGAGGTCAGGATGCCTTATGGCATCATACTAGAGGGTGATGCAGCCATGGTGTGTGGGAGTTGTACATGTGGACAAAGGGATAGATGGCCTCTGCAGTTGTGATGAGAAGAATGGCTGAGGTGGGGCCTGGCTGCCCAGGTTTGGACAGCAGAAGAAAGCACAGGAAGGATGTGGCAGTGGGACAGTGCTTGTCAGATTGCAAGCTGACTCAGCAGGGTGGAGCAGCCATCTCCAGCCAGCCAGAACTTTGGTGTGGAGGAATTATATTTATAAAGGGAAACCCCAGCAAAGAAAGAATAAACAGCTTCATGTTTGGCTTTGATCTGAGATTAGGTTCTCCTTGCTGCCTCCGTCAGTCATGCAGTCACCCCTCAGGCACTGTGGAAGGTGAAGCAAGTTACATCTCCAGTCAGCTTGGGTTGGCATCACTTGTGGATGGAGTGTAGAGCCAGAACACCTGTGCCAGGGTATGAAAGGCCACTAGGAACACCAGCCTGCCCTGTGTCATAACTTGTCTCAAAGCTTCCCAGATGCTGAGGTTTGCAAATGCCATGGGTAGATTGGCCAGAATGGACTTACAGGGCTGCACTGGGGCCCAACTCAGTGTCTGTCAGGAAAAGGCAAAGGCATCTAGATGACTTGTAGGGCTGATGCAGCAATACAGATACCCAGAGCTTTCAATTCTAATGGACCATACCACTGTCTGGCTGCAGTGGTGTGACCACTGTGTGGAAAGGCAGTGGTGGGATGGTAAAGTAGCTGGAGAACACAGAAAAGGTACGATGAGGTGAGTAGGGGTGAGAAGCCAGCTGTGCAGGCACGATCCTCGGGGTTGTGAGGCTCTGTGGATCCAGCTGGTCTGGATGGGGTGAGTTCAGTTCCACAAATAACTGAAGGCAAGAGGATATAATGGAGCAGATAAAGGGCAAAAAGCAATGATGTGTCAAAGGCATGGGGCAGCCTGGCTGGCTCACAATTTAGGAGAGTATTTGGTAAGCAAAGTGCAAAAGTATGATTGGGTTAATGTGAGTAGATGATCTTAAATCTTAGGAACCACTGCAGCTAGAAATAACTGCGTGGAGCAGTAGCCCTGGGGAGCTGTCAGGAGATGTCATCCATTGGAATGATAATTCCCTTGGACCAGGCTGAGCAAACTTAGCACACTGGATGTCTTTTTTCGAAAGAGAAGAGGATGTACTCAGCATCCTTCAGGTATCCTGGGCCAGTTAACCACTGCTATACAGTGTCTTATCATAAATGTTAAATGCAATGTAAATGTGGCAGATAATTTGCACAGTCTCCTTTAAGTAATGGATTTAAGATTGTATCCTAAAAATACATTTCTTGTTAAAATGAAGTTTTGAAATGAGCTCCCGCAGGATTCTGTTCTTTGTGTGTCAGAGGAATGGATTAAAATCAGAAAAATGTGGGCCTTGTACTTGCTCCCAACTGAAACCCATCAGTCTTACTACACATCCAAATAAGGCGTCTCCTAAGCATATGCTATGCTTACAAATGCATTTCTAGGGAAAAACAAAAGTGTATGATTTGAATATATGTCAGAATTTATACAGAAGAATGTTATTTAAAATGAATAAAAATAAATGTATATAATTTGTATCTATGCCACTTGGATTTTTGCATTTGTTTTTTGTTCATTTGAGTTCAGCAGGAGTCTTCGTACAGATAGCAATCAAAGCTGGCTTGAAACCTAAAGGAATGAATCTGATCTCATCCCAGTAATGGCATTTGTTCCAAGAGAATTATTCCTTCATTATACTGCTGTATGTGAGATGAGAACTGTGGCCTAAAAATGTTTTTTAACATTAGATATTCATTAGTCCAGCTGACACTGTGTCAGATAATCCATCTAAAAAATGAGCCCTGTGATCTGTTGTGTCTGCTTATTAACCATCCCAGCTTTCAGCTTTCATTTGTGTGTTTGGTAGCTGGACAGCCAGCCCTTATTTCCCCATCATTTAATGTGATGTTCACATAGACATATTTTGTCAGAGATCTATGCAGTCATTAAAAATGAAACCTTCAGAGCAAAGAAATTAGAAGAGGATATTGTATCGTATTTTTTCTTTGTGAGCACAATGGTTCTTCCAAAGAAAATTTACGCTTATAACACACTCTGAAATCCACATCTGTGGCATCAGCAGTGTTGGACATTTTTTTGGCCATGTCTGCAAAAGGACTTACGATAAACTTGCACTTCTTTCTCACTTGTCAGTATTATCTGCTTGGTGTAAATACAAATGCTAAAGGCTAGTTTTGCCTTTATGCCTGGAACGTTATGTCTAACTCTTTGACTCCTATTAAGCAAAGAACCTGAAGAGAGGTGAGCCAGCATCAATCGAGTGAACTTAAGAACTATGTGTTCATTCAAATGCTTAACTGAGCCAGAGCTATAAAAGCAAGGGCCACACTAGTGAAATTCCAGGGAGTTTATTGAGACCTGATTTGCATTAGCAGAACAGTTTGATTCTGCATGACTTAGCTGAGGAGGAATTTTGCTCAGGAGTGAGCAAAACTGAATGCTGAACTAGGTTGCCAGTGCCAAGACTTGAGGACAGCAAGCAACCCAGGTTCAGCTGATGGTGACATCCATCCTTGTGCCAGCACCATGCTTCTGCACTGAGCAGCAGGCTGTCACCTTGCTGCCTCAGACTTTGTGGTCAACATAGAATCATAGAATGGCTCAGGTTGGAAGAGACTTTAAATATCATCCAGTTCTGACCCTCTGCTGTGGACTGGTTGCCTCCTACCAGACCAGGCTGCCCAGGACCCCATCCAGCCTGGTTTTGAACTTCTCCAGGGATGGGGCATCCACAATTCTTTGGGCAAACTGTTCATAGATCATTCCATTGCACTGTCCATAAGTATGTATTTCTTAAACTCCCTTTAGCACTTTGTTTCTGGAGCAGTAAGAATCTCAGACTGGCTTCTGAAGTAGGAGAACACCACTCCAGCCTGGCTTGCTGGTACAAGGATTTTCCATAATCTCCCCAAATGTACTGCTAATTAAGATAAAGTTAAATAACATTAAGAAGATTACCAGAAGTTGTTAATGGCTTTCAGGCAATATGTTTACCTTCCTTGCCTCTTGCAGTTGCAGATTTTAAAGCTTTGGGCAGTGCAGTAACCCAGGGGAGTTTTCCATCACATCTGCGTATGTATTTGTGTACATCTCTGTCCATATGCTGTTGTCCATCAGTCATTTCATGAAGTGTTGACAAGGAGGGCCCTTCTGACTTTCTTTCATGAAGGAATATGCTGGGACTCTGCAGTCTCACCTTTGTGGCTGATGGATGGTGACTTAATGGCATGCATCAAATATATAATATTCTACTGTAACCTTAACCAACACCACACTGGTATTCTAAGTAAATATTCACTCATTTTATCAAGGGAACACTCATTTCTGCATTGTAAGGATGTGCAGGCACACTGCAGACGGGATGAAGTGATCTTGGTGCCATGTGTAAGACCTGGTTTGCACAGTGAACTTCAGCAGGACAGAAGGTGAGGCCACTGCGAAAGGGGGAGCTGGTCACATGAGGTGACAAATGTTTCTGGAAGGCAGTGAGGGAGTTGAAGGGACAGAGCATATCTTAGGACCCTTGGAGCCCAAGTGCAAAACATCAGGCATAGCTTACTGGAAGGGAGATAAGATTAAGAGCTTAGCTGTACCAAGCATGCATTTCCTTGCTGTTAGGAGCACCGACAGCTGCCCCACGTGCACTCATGTGCATCCAGAGAAGAGTGATAGAAGCAGGGATGGGCGGCTCACAACCACCACACACGCCTGGGGCTGGGACTGGGGCACACCCAGGCTGACAGCATTCACCTGCTCCCAACAGAGAGCACAGCTGCAGGGAGATATGCTGAGAACATAAAGCTAATCATCACAGCCCACAGTCTGTGCCAGCCCCACCGTTGGCCTATTTCCCAGCCAGGTGAGAATTCCCCTGAGGCAGCCTGGATGGTGACTGAGAGAAACGTGACACACTCGAAAGAGCCAAGGAAACCAAACGCTGTTGCTGATTCTGAGAGGAGAGTGGTGTGTGTCCCACCCCACAGACTGTCCTTATGTTACAGTGCCACGAAGAAAAGCGCTCGCTGTCTGGATTTCCCCACTCCCCTGGGCCAGCAGCTGCAGAAATATCCCTTTCTCACTGGGAAAATCCCAGTGCTCTGACTCAAGTTTAGAATGTCACAGGGAGGTACGTCAGTGCCACAGTCTGAAACGCTGAGGTAGGTGTGTGAAGCAAAGCAACGCCGGCCCTCTGCGTGACTACGCTCTGCCCGTGACTGGAACTTTGTCGTCAAACTCAAGTATTTCACTCTCAAAGTCTGACGCTGTAACCTCAGTAAACACGACGGCCCGCTGTCGCCGCCTCTCTGTCTGCTTTAAAAAGATGGCGGCTCTGTCCGTCGCTGCTTCTTCCCTCACTCAAGATGGCGCCCACCGCTCTCCTCTTGTGCCCAGCTGGCAGTCACCGCCCCGCTCTGCCCTCGACCAACATGGCGCCCGCTCGCCCGCCTCCTGCCAGTACCCACAACAAAGATGGCGCCTCCCCTTTCGTTCCCATTGTGCCCTCCCCCCCCGCCCTCCTCCGCGCTGCCTTCAGCGGCTTCATCTCCGTCGACGCAAAGATGGCGGAAGCGGTTGCGGCCGTTTGAATTCCAGCGGAGCCGCCAAAGCTCCGCACAAAGGCGCCGGAGCCGTGGCTGGCTGCGGGCGGTATGGATTCTCTACCAGGAGAAGACGTAACGCTGCCGGTGGGCTTCGAGGGCAGGTAGGCGAGCGGTTCTCAGGGTACGCGGAGCCGAGGTAACCGGCCCGGGCTGAGGAACCGGCCCGCCGACCCCCGTGGTGCGTGTCGGGCCTTCTTAGCGCCGTGCTTTCTCTGCAGTGTCTCCGTGCTGCCAGACATCTCCCGCGAGGGCCCGCAGCTCGAGCCGGCCGGCTGCCGAGGTGAGGCGGGGCGGCGGGCGCTGCGCGTGGGCTGCGGGTCCCGGCTGGTTGGGGGAGGTGACGGGCGCTGCGCGCTGCCTGTGTGTGAGGCTGCCCGGCTCCCTTCTGTCTGAACGCCGGGGATGGACTCGGCGCCTCGCGCTTTATCTGCTTCCACCTTGAGAACTTTCCCCTTGTGCTGAACAGAAGCTGTAGTTAGATCTATTTTTCTAAATGACGAAGTGTCGTTATGTTCGGCATCCTTCAGGCTGGCTGACAGGAACGCGAAAAGCTTCTGTTGAGATAAAATGGCTGGAAGGTGTTACATTGAGAAGAACTGCTGGTCAAGCTGTTCTTTGTTCTGCTCCGCGAGCCTAAGGCGCGTGTTTCTGATTTGCCTTTGTTCCCGCCTGCATCCAGCGCTGTAACCCTGCTCACCTCGTTGCGCAGAAGCGGGGAATGCAGACAGAGCCAGGCGTCACCAGGACCTCCTGGCTGCCAAAAGCAAGCAATGATGCTGCTGCTGCTGCCAAATAATGTGACCGTGCTCAGCCTGGGCTCGAGGAATGCAGTTTTGTGATTGTTAACAATGTCAAAGAGTTAAAAACAGTTTGCTGGTATTGCCTGGGATGCTTTAATGACTGGTTACACAATGACTTTGAATGTACTTCAATGAAGTGTTTGAATTCACGTGGGTGTTAGCCTAAGGCCACAGATGCTTCTTTGTACTTCGGATAACCCGAGTGCTATGAGCTGTATACATTCTTGCTATTTTCATTAAGTTTGCTCTCATGGGAGCTTTGAATGGAACAGTTACGAAGCCCTGTTAAATACAGTTGTTGCAGAACATGCATGCATGCAAGCAGTTTAAATACATGCATGTTTAGAAGGCATTATGCTTTAGGAATACTGATGCTGGTCGTTTCTAACTTCTAATAGCTTAATAGGACTTCATTCTGATACTGAAGCCTGTTGCAGATGCTCTGAAGGCTTGTGTTTAGAAGTGCCTCTTGTACAGCTTAACTTTGATGTACCTCTTGATTTAAAAGTTCAAAATTCGGAGGTTTTGAAAGACCAGGTATTGGGAGCAGAAAGAAATCCTGACTGTGACTGGAAGATAATACTAAAACTCAGTGTTTCCAGAGTGAAACCTATCTTGGATTCCCCTGTCTGAACTCATTCTGTCTCTTCAATGTCCAGGTTTACCAGATGTGGCAGAAGACACAGTCTCACCAATCAGAGCTCGGACCATGAAGGACTATGAAAATGTAAGCAGGCTTTTAATGTAAGACTTAGTGACGGAGTTATGTCTAAGGTAATTCTGATATGCTGGCTATGGATTGGGTGCTTTGCTTATGTCACAGGTGTGATCTGTAGGTATTTGTGCTGTCAGCTTCCATCTCTCTGCCTTCAGAACCAAAGGCAAAATATTGCTGTAAGGCAGACTAGCCAGCTGCTGCTTTTAAGTTGCGAAACAGAAATTGGCACCATCTGCTCAGAAGTAGATGCAATCACCGGAAATATGAGAGCGTAGTTTGCAAGTCTGCAGTTGATTCCTTGTATTTCAAGGAAGCATCAAACTTATCTTCATTTATACCTGCGTAGGATTTTGTGTTCGCTGACTGTTGCATGGTATCTTGTACATTTATGTACAAGCTTTTGTTGTAAAAGGTCTTCTATCATTGTGACAGTGCTGTAGATAAAGCTGGTTTTGGTGCTTGCTGGAATACAGAGGAAATCATCAGATGCTTTTGAAGTGTCAACTGCATTGAATAAACTGTTTAAGTTACGAGCTAATTGTTTATGGCTGCTGAGTGATGTCTGTTTGGGTATAGCAGGACAACACTTCCGTAGAATTTTTTATGTTTAGCTCAAGTTTTTATGATTGCTTTACAACTTTGTGGCTTGCTATCTTCAGGATGTGTCAAGTCTTGGTGGTTTTTAGTGTGCTTCTTACTGCCCGTTACCCTTAGTAGCACTGCTAAGTCTGAAATGGGCCTTTCTTCTGAACTCTTTCAGTTTTTCTTATTTTCCTCTGAGGAGAGAGCTGTGCCCTTTGTTTAGAAGTTAGGGCTTGCTTTGGAAAGTCTCAGTAAATAACATTTCTTACTGTTTCTATTTCGCTTTTATTTTGGAATATTATCTGGGTTAGGACTCTGCTTTGGCATTAGTATGTGCTTAAAGTCTTTTACTATGACATGCATAAGATCTGAGTCTAAAATATACATTCTGCAAATGGTTTGCTCTCAGCAGCATTTTCACAGGAGAAAATGTAGAAGGAAGAATCTGTTGTTGGTTATGTGTGATGGAGAAGTTCTGTTTTCCTTTTGGAGCAGGCAGAAGAACTGGCATCGTGCCTTTTACCATGGTCTGTATTGCTGAGGTGTGTTAGAGATGAGCTATGTCAGCCTGGGCCTCATATGGAAGAGGAAAGGCCTTCGTGGTGTGTACAGACCCCTTGTGTTCAGCTAAGCTGTCGGATTTCTTGGAGGTCTTTGTGGTTGCTTACAGTACCAGAATGCTCAAAAATCTCTTAAAGTACTGGCAGAAGAATCTAATGAAGGGTAATGGAGCACACCGGGGTTTCTGCTGCTCTTGTTTTTGAGATTGCAGGTAGCTGGAAGGCTAAATGTGAGAAAGGGAGCGCTCACTTTTCTGTCCTTGTACTGTTTATTAGCATCCAGGAGCCGTTAGATGTGCTTGGATTGACATCATAAGCCTGCTCTTATCCTGCCTTAAAACAAATCTGAGTTAACATGGTAAAGGCAGATACAATTCCTGATAGCTCCTGCGTGGAGATGAGTGTGTGTATATACATATGTTCATTTGCTGATCTTTGGGCTATGCTGCTTGCTCAGGATGTGAGAAGAAAATGAAGGAAGAGTGGGAAAGAACTTGGAAGGAAAGAATGGAAGAACTTGCCTTGTGGTTTGGAGAGACCAGGATGGATGTGGTGACCCTTGAAGGGGGCAGTGGGTGGACCTATGTGGGAAAGGTCTCTTTTATCTCTTTTTGGAGATGGGGAACAAAGAAAGGCAGATAATCCTGGAGGTGTTTGTGATGTGTCATCGAGAAGGGGAAAACACCAGTGACTTTGAGTGCAATTACATGGACAAAAATGAAAGACTTCATTATTTGAGGACCTTGTTATGATTTATTAAATGCTCGTGAGTAGAGTTATTGGTAGCAAGTCAGGGTACTTAGTAATTGTCTGTATGTGGTTCTTCGTTTGTATTTTTGTGGGTGGCTTTATTTTTATATATTTATTGTTATTGCCTTTCTAAACCCATTCAGAATTGTGCTGTCTTGTAAAATGGCCTCTGCTGGCAAAAACGGTGCTGTGAAACCACAGCTCCTGTTGACAGATGCTGCTTTGCATAAAAATGGCTCTGTGCAGACTTGGAGAGGAGCTGAGCTGAGCTGGGGAAGTGGTATTTGCTACCATGGTGTCTGTGGTGTGTAATTTTCCATGCAGCGTATGACATTTTCCTCTGTTTTCGTGAAGTCTTTACTGTTTCTCCTCTTTTGTTCTTAAGTACGGACATGAAAATGTATGAAGGCATTAAGAGTGGGTCTGTAAATGCAGAAGGAAGGCAGGAGAGTTGCCATGAAGGTTCCTTTGCGATGTGAACTTGTTCATATTTTATAGGTTGCTTTTTATTAAGCTATAACTTTTAATTGTTGCCTGCTCGAATTCACTTTGCTTGGGGGAACTGAATGTCAGAGGGAACTTATTTCACTTCTTCATTTCTAATGGTACAGTATGTTTGCTTGCCTTCTGCAAAAAGTGTGCCTAAGCTCTTTGGTTTAATTCTGTTGCCACAGAAATACATGAGAATAGAGTTAAGGAACACTGAGATCTGAAATTGTTTTTGTTTGGTTGTTGTTTGTTTTTGTTTTTGTTTTTTTTTTTAGCTCAGATCTGTACTGAAAGTATGAAGTGTAGCAGAAGTCCAGCTCTTATAACTTCAGCCTTTGATGTTTGGGCTTTTTCTGAATAATTTTCTGATGGCTTTAAAAACAGAACTGCAAGGTGTGCTGTCACTCGTTGCAAATAGTGCTCAGTTTTTGGGAGCAAAGCTGAGTAAGATGTGAAAGACAACTCTACAGCCTTGCTTCCCTGAAGAAATCATTAATTTTTGTTCATTCCAAATAAGGGCTTCAGTTTTGAGCAGCGCTGAGAGCATTGTGCTCTGTGAGGTGAATCAGAACGCTCACATCCATCTGAACGCTCCTGAATACTCCTTCCAGTTCCTCAAGGTGCCTCGTGATCCTCAGGAGGTGTCATGCTGTAAGCGGTCACCGCTTCTACGCTTACAGTTCATGTTGCTGTTTGTGGTCTTTGGGTTGGAAGCGTAGGGATACGAAAAGGAGGGAAGGAGTTGTGCGTGCATTGCTGCTGCTACTGAAGACAGCTTCTGCAGGATGTGTGGATGGGCCACAGAGCTGTTACAGTCCTCTGGATTTCTGGTTGCTTGGGTGATGCTTGCTTGTGAATAATAAAGGGCCCCTTGCTAGGCAGAGATTGCTACACTGGAAGAGATTATGAGTGCAAGTGGTGAGAGGAGTTACAGAAAAGAGTCTTCCTAGGCTTACACAAGCTGAGTATTATAAAAATTGCATTGGTAATAATTTTTACAAGTGGTGCTATACTGTTCTGGAAAAACCTACATAAATGTTTTATTAGGAGCTCTGTAGCATATTAGATTTCCTTTTGCTGAGAGCATCTGACAGGGGTCACGAGGCTTATTTGAATGAATGTTTTATGCTTGGCCTCTTAAACCATTTCAGAGGGAAACTCTTTTTAATGAAACCATCAACTATGTTACTGCTCCTACTAGTGCAAAAATCATAAGTCCTGAAGGACATGTATCAGAGGCCTTTTTCCCAAAGAATTGTGCTGTGAAACTTATAGGGGTGCATAAAGATTTTATTGGTAGTTGATTTGGCTCTGCTGCCTTGTGTGCCTGTGGCTTTTCCTCCCATGAATGATGCTCCCATCCCATGCTTTTGCTGAGGAAATACTTCTGTTTCAACATACCTTTTCAGATTTTGCTTAAACTCTGTAGAGTGGGGAAAAAAGTCCTTGTTTTAGTCTAAGAATATTCTTTTGGTTTCTCTTATAAAGCCAGACAATGTTTTAGTACTTAGAGAAGGAGTATTGTAAAGAGCACTATATGACAGCATGCAATGCTTATTAAACAATACTCTTCTATAATTATGATTTCAGTGCCAATGTATCAGAGTTTTAAGGACTAAAAATAAACATATGTATGCACACGCATGCATGGCTCACCATGTTGGTTGGATTCCATCCCAGTAATTGTCTTTCACAGTGGAGAGCAAAACCAAGTGGATGCAGTTCTTGCTGTTTGTTTTTGCTGATTTGAAACTCATGATGTAGTTGGCTCCTTTTCTTTCTTTCACAGCAAATCTCTGATCTGAAAAAAGAGAACTTCAACCTGAAGCTTCGTATATACTTCCAGGAAATGCGAATACAGCAGAAGTTTGATGGTCCCACAGAAGACATGTACAAAATTGTATGTGCTTAGAATATCGTAAGATCATTATGTATCTCTGAAGAGTTTGTTTAATGGGAAAGCTGCCTGTTTTACTTCTGAATCTCTCAGCTGGAACTCTCAGTATGACTATCTTATTTTGCCCTCTGACTGTTCACTGGAGGAGTCTGCTTCCTTTCTAGCAGTTCTTTAATGGTATTTCACCAGCTCTGTGGCAGCCTGCTTATCAAAGGGGCAAACTTTCCAGTCTATGCAGAGCAGTTTCCTCTGAAGCATGTAGATGAACTTGTGTTTGGGTTGTGTATAGCTTCTTGAATTATTGCTCTACGTACCTCTCAATCAGGAATTCATCTGTTTGGTTCCTATCTAAGTTTATAGAAGAGAAAGTGAGGTTTGGCTTTCTTATTTAAGTTTGAAGAAGGATTTGAGTCTATGCATCCGTGGGACAAGCACTTTTTTGTCTGCATTCTACAAGGCATTCATTTTGGTAATGCAGTGGTATTTAGTCTCCTCTGTAATGGAATGGAAAATTCAGGGGTTTTTTGGTGGTTGTCACAGTAGTTAAGTGCATAGCTGCCTAGCTAGGTCATGGTTTCAACTGAATATTGTTAATTGGTCTATTCTGGTCTTCTACTGTATTCTGGCTTGTCTTGTAATGGCTGATGTATTGAAAATTCTGTCAGCTTGTGTGCCAAGGAGTTCTTGTATGATGTGTTTTCCCAGGCTGTAAGAAAATCATTTTAAAATGATTAAAAGCCTCAATAATTGCTATAACCAGATTTTAAAAAGAAAATCACTAGAAATTATAGCTTCCAAGCTCTAGTAACTCCCAAGTTGATTTGCACCACTTCCCACTGTAGCTCAGCATACAAGTGTGCATAGACTTGCTTGAGTACAGTGGTGCTAAATGCTTGGCCCTTGTAAAACGTGCTTTCATAAGCTGAAATTGCTATGCTGGCCTTATCCCAGTGATACTTTATTTGCTGTTCCAAGCAAAAGTAATCTATACGGTGACATTAACTTACCCATATGGTGACCCCTGAGTTCTCTGCAGATGCTTTCATTCTTATGTTCTAGAACATCGAGCTGAAAGTTGAGATAGAAAGTCTGAAGCGTGATCTGCAGGAGAGAGAGAAGCTCCTCATCAAGGCCTCGTGAGTACCAGCATATTAAAACTGAGTGGTGTTTAAGACTTCTAAGGTCTTGTGTCTGTATGTGTTTTTTCCTGATGCTTCTGGAACATGAAGAGTGCAAAGTAGCATTTCAGTGTTGAGTGTTTTAAAGTTTTTCCAGAAATTGTCCCTTGTGATGCCGGATTTACATTTTAATTCTTACACACAATGATGTTGTCACAGAGTAACTTGTGGAATGAAGTTAATATTCTTTTTCAGATAAATGCAGCTCCTTAGTAGAGAATGGGTTAGCATTCCTACTAGCATTAGCATAGCTCGTATAATAACTCCCTGTAGAGCTGTTTCTTTCTAGATAGCAGTTTCAAAACGAATCCAAGCTGGCAGTGATAGCTAATGACTGCTGTGCAGGCCTCAGTTGCAATGGAATTTTCTCTGTGGCTGACATTACGTGGCATTGAGCATTGAGTTGTTACTAATTACTTTTTTCAGTAGTTTGGAGTTCCAAATAGATCCTGCAGACCTGATAAATTTCCATTTGTAGCTGTAAGAAAGTTTCATTGGACTTTGAATGGAACCTTGCATGAGTTCATAATAGAACATGGAATTTAGAGTGAAATCATAAACAAGTGCTCATCCTTTGCTTAGTGAGGAAGTATGAGAGAAGAAGGAGCTGGTAAGGAATTACTAATTACTAAATAAGTGATTAGGAGAGGTATCTGCAGCTACGCATCTTCAGTTTATTCCAGTGCTGTTGCTTGTAGGTAATACAGCTCTATTGAAGGCTTGGTACTTTACTTGAAAGCTTTAAAAATATGCAGGAAATAGTAACAATTTTTCTTTGTATGCTTATTCATTGTGACAAGGCTTGTGTGGAGCTCTCATTGCTGTACATCAAGCAGAGACTATACCACCAAAGTTGTTACGTGCTGTGTAGATGTTTGTATTTTCGCCTTACAGTGACAAGCAGGTACAGATAAAGTAGAAGGAACTTCTTTGTAATCTATCAGCTGCTTTCACTAAAACGTTTTCTACTTTGATATGCAATGGGATTTCTATTATATATTATGGCCTTTCAGAAAAGCAGTTGAAAGCCTGGCCCAGGGTGGTGATGCTGAAATACAGCGTGTGAAAGAGGAGGCACAAAGAAAGTTACAAGAAATGGAAGGAATCTTGACTGGCAGAATAAACCTTCTGGAGGAGGTGAGTGCCTAAAATGGAATGAATAGTTTGGAATCTGTGCTTTGTACTATTATCTGAGATTTGATACTGTGATAGGTCTGTGTTTTCAAAATTGCTTCAGCTTTCATGGGGAAATAGCTAGTGCAAATGCAAGAGGAAAAGAAGAGAGGGGAAAACCAAAACAAACGGTGAAAGGGAAAGTACCATTAGCTACTCTTAAAGCACTGAACAGGAGGATAGCAATTCTTCAGGAAATTCCTACCTTTGGATGCTGTTTGGATATGTTCATAACAGACCTTTAAGTCTTGAGTTCCAGTGAAGCAGCTTTGTTTCCAGAGCTGCCATCTCTGTTTAGAGGAAGAGGGGCTGCATTTTGGACACTTGTTCTGGTAAGGTCTCAGCTTCGTAAATAGCTGAAACCACTCTGTAGGAGCTCCTGTCATGTAACTGACACAGTTTACTCCTGTATTTATTTCTGAGCCATTGCTGATATCTTAACAGGGGAATTGCTTCGTGTTTTTCTTGTTTTGTAGTGTATAGGCACCACGAGGAAAAGAATTGTCTCCGTATGAATAACATGCTTCCTCAGAAGCAAGGAGACTTCTCTTCCTTGTAAAGAACAAATCAGATATTGAATGGCCTGTGCTGGCTGGAAATATTTAAGCTCTATAAATAAATTCATAGTTGTTTTGCATCATTGAGTGCGTATACTTAGGTAAAGGATTATGTAACTGTATCTTTTGAGAGAATAGAGATTTGGTGCTCTTTTGTGAGTAAATAAATAGGACAAGGTTAAGCTCCAGTGTTTGCTTTTCAGTCTCTAAAGAACGATTTGGTCATAGAAGATATTGTAGCAGGCTCATAATGCTATTTTCTATCGGATTAAGCAGTGAGCTCCTTCAGAGCTGAGCTGTGGGGATTCACCACGACCTTTTCTTTAGCAGAACTGGGGTTTCTCAAAGCATTCCTTGTGCTATTGCCGAGGTAGAAAATATCCCAAATTACTGATTGTAAAACAAAATGATTGATCAGACTGGCGTTTCCTAAATCTGACATGTAGAGTAGCAGATATTAACTCACAGTGCTATAGTATTTTCTGTAGCCTGAAGGTAGGAGTTGGCCTCTGACATGAATTTTATTATGCTGGTGAATGTAAACACTGCAGAGCAGTGTTAGTCTCTTGCTCGTGTAATGCTGTATAGGTACACAGATCCAGGTGTGAATTTCCATTGGAGTTTTTCTCTGAAAGATGAATGCTGATGGGGAGGGGAGAGGAGCAGTGAATTCTAATGGAGAAGGGCTTTTTCTTCACACCCCATTCCTCAAGAGATCATCTTTGGAGGGGAGGGGGTTACTTGTTAGGCTTCAGGGAGGCTGATAGATCATAGAAAGCAAAACTCAGCGAGCACAGCAGGGAAGCTTACCACAGAAAAATGAAGATCTGAAACAAATGTTATGCAGTACGTGACAGGTTGCTTTTGTGCATTTTTGTTTTGTTGGTGACTTTTTGTTCCAGTCAACTTCTAGTGATCCAGCTCACTGGGCTGGGGAATGTCTGGGTGTTTCCTCTATTTCTGTTGCTGTCCAAAGGAAACTTGATTTGTGCTCTATCAATGCTTAATCAATCATCTTGGAGTTCCAGTCAGCTACAGTGAGGCTGTGAATATTGATTTTTATCCCTGATTGAATAAAACCTCCTTTAATTTCTGTCTGTTTCTTGCGGTGGTGGGAGGATAGTGGGGTAGAGTCAAATTATTTTAAAGCAAATTATCATAGCTAAATGTAAAGCCATAGCACAGGGGCACTTCTGTTTCTATTTCTGCTGTTGGGTAGGGAATTTGATTTCTACTTTGAAATGAGCTTCCCATCTTTATGTACCACAGCAAATTGATTAACCTGAACTTTTCATGCCTGTATTTTCAAGGAGTGTTTGCAAAGTGATTTGCTTGAGATAATTTATCAGTGCATGAAAAACTTCTGTGAGCATTTTGTTCTTATAGGCATCAAAATATTGTGGTTTTTTTTTTTTTTTTTTTTTTAATTACTTTAACTACAGAATCTTAAAGCTGCCCAAGAGGAGGTGGAGAAAGCCATTGCAATGGCAGAGAAGGAGAAAGCATTGAGAATTGTCGCTGAGCAGAAACTTTCTTCACTTGCAAACGCTCCTGCAAAGGATCTGGATATGATTGCAGGAACTGAGAAGGACAGGTCAGGACACTTGCTGGTGATATTTCTAACCAGATGGAAGTTCTTTTACTGTTGAAGTGCAAAGAGTCAGCATGGGTACAGACTGTAATGATTTGATCCTTTCCTGAGATAGATGAGTGTTACTAGATATCCTATCAGCTTGTAAATGAGTGCAGCAACCGGTTTACATGTTGCATGACAGCAAAATCTTTAAAAGATGTCTGAAAGTGTAAAAGAATCAATGTGCATGTGACATGGTGTCCTGCTTTAAAGCCTTTTTGTGACTGCTTTCTTGTCTTCTACTTCCTGCTTTTGAGCCATTGCTTAAGTAGAGATGCACTCTTATGTCTGTGTTCGCTTGCAGTTTTCGTAGTGCTTACATGCACTTCAGTCTTGGTGTATCTATTGAGGTTGGTAAAATCTAATGAGAAAAGGAAAATGTGAGCTGTATGGCTTTGATTATGCTTTGCAAAGCGTTGGTTTGGCTTAGTTTGGCAGGTAGTTGAAAAGATGCTCGAGTTGTTCTTCAGGCAGGGAGATGTGTACAGTCAGATCTCAACGCTTGGAGGGCTGATTTTATTTCTTAAATATATTTAGGATAAAATCTTGTTAACCCAGTAAAGCTTCTGTAACTTGGGTATGTAAGCCTGGGGAGGACATGAGAAGAATGTTATAATTAGTAATGCTTTGGAGTATCCTTTCCTGTCCTTTTCTCACTGAACCCTGAAGTTAGCTGCTGAGTCACTGCATAATTGGTCTGCCCTGGTAATGGTAAGATATGTTGGCCTGAGGCTTTCATTTGTCAATTTAATGGTACAGTAGGACCAAAGTGAAGTTTGTAGTGTTTGTCAGCCAGCTTTTATGTGAACATACAGATTGAAAACTGCCAATCTGAACTCCTGCAGTATCATAATCTGATGAAATCATTCTTACTGCACGTTAAGTGATACTGCAGTGATTGTAACGTGGCTGTTAGGCAATCTTCTTCCCTTTGCCTTTAATTTCCCTGTCCTCTTTCAGTCTCTTAGACCTCCATGGGTACACGGTTGCTCTCCTGAGTGATACAAGCTGAAGGAGTGTGTTACAAAAGCAATCCCTTTCCAATGTACTTCAGTTTCCAGCTCTAAAGCTTGTGTGAAAACAGTGCTTCAAGTGTGGGAAGAAATTGTCAGTACTGAATCACTGAAATAAAGGCTGTGTGGAGTAAGAAGCTCTTCTGGTGATCTGTACTGGCAGGATCCCCTGTCACTCTATGCTGACATGTCTGAGCATTTGCAGAAGCAGAAAAACAGTGCTGGTGGAGGAAGGCATTTGATTCCTTGTAGTGAACAAAGTACTACCGTGCAACACTTCAAACTGATCTGAAAGTAGCACATAGGGAGTTTGTGCTGTATTAAAAAGATCCTTTCGCCATCTGGGTTGCAAAACACTAAGAAGATCACAGCTGGCATCTTATGCCAGAAAGTTTTCAGGTATAACCCTTACGTCTGTCAAAAGATGGTAGCATTGATTTTAATTAATCAAGACTGGAGGTGCTGAGATGTGTATCTGACTGATGGAGGTGGCCATGACTTAATTTTGAGGAGGTTGTGTGGAACTAGGATCGACTTTAGCCACAAATAGAAGTGATGGTACTTGAGGGACCCCTTCATGATGGTATGTAGTGATGTGTGTAGGAAGTGGAATGCATTGATAAGCTTTTGTGTATAGGGTAATGGAAACAAGATGTTGAAGCTTTAAGCATTTATGTTTAAAATAGTTTTGGAGGAAAAGAGAAATGAGTGCTTTGCAGATAGCTCAAATGTGTTTGTTGCTTGCTTCAAGCGAATGGCAGCTTTTCTAGCTTCTCTGGAGGAGGGCGGGTTGTAGAAAGAAAGGTTCTACAAGTATTGTCTGGAGTCTTCAGGTAGGAGAGCTGCCTGCAAGATGTACTGCAATAACTGTGGAGTTGCTGGTAGATCGTGCAAGATTAACATGAAAAATCTTACAATTTTAGACTTACAGAGCAACTGAATCTGTCTTTGAAAAGTAAAGAAGCTGCAATTCAACATCTTGAAGAAAACTCTCAGAGTGGACCTGGTGATGGGAGCTTAGCAGAGAAAATTGAAGAAGTTACCATTGCTTTGAGGCGTGAAAAAGACAGTGAGATAGAGGTGAGGAAACTGCTGCACAGAGTAAATCTGGTAAATCTCACCTGGTCTGGGATTCTCAAGGCTTTGTGCATGGCAGTATGTGAGTGACTTAATAATACAAAATCCTTCTCCACGTTTATTCCTTTCCTTTCTCCCTTTTTCATCCCCTAAACATTCACTGTTTATACTGTGTTTTGGCAGCCAGTATTCATTGTTACCAGCCATGCTTTTCATTCTTTCAAAGAGATAATTTCCCTCTACTTTATACTTGTTTTGTCATAGATACTGTGTAATTGCTTTACAGAAGTATGTATTTTAAAGAAAAGCTAAATGTTACTAGATCCCCACCAGTAGATGACAGAACTTTTACAGTACTGTAAGTTAAGAGTGTGACCTGAGAGTTTGTTTTAGGAAGATATTTCTGTACTCTTATTTGGAGGAAAAAGCTTTATTGAAGGAGGTAAGTGTTAAAAGATTGTTGTGAAATAAAGTGAAAGCATTGCTGTTAGCTTACAGAATGTTCCAAAAGTTGTAATTGCATTTCTATTGTCTCTTTAAGAGGAGAGCAGATACCTTGACAGCTTAAAAGCACAAATAAGTCTGAAGCTTTGCTTTACTTGGTTGTTTGCTTTTCCATTGGTTATTCACGCTAACAAAACAGGAAGAAAAAAGAAATTATGGAGGCTGTTGTGCTTCTGAGAAAGATTCATCTTTTTTGGGGGGGGGATGACGATGACAACTTCTTAACAATCAGCACAGAAACACCTTTTTGTTTCTGTCAGGAATAGATGAGAGCCTTCTTCAACTGAACTGAATTAGAACTTCACTTCTGGGTCTTACTGGAGTGAAATCAATGTGTCAGGAAGGACTATCCTAGATCCACAAGATTATTTTGTGTCAAGGTGAAAGCGGAGTCATCTTTAATCATTTCCAAGCAAATGGACAGACTGTCATCCTTTTGGGCTATAGAACTAGAGAAAGAAAGCTGAACGTGTTTGGTGCACAGCTCCATTTTTATATAGCATTACTCCTCTTTAAAAACCAATCTTCCCCAGAGAAAAGCGCTAATTAAAATCTGTGTTAAAAGGATCCTGCTGATGTGGCTAGGTGTCAAAAAAATGCACTTTTATTAGCTTACCAAGTAGAATTGTCCTGTCTCTCATTGAAGAACACTGTTTTCTTTCATACCATGCCCAGATACATCTGTAGGGTACCAGGAACCAACTATGCATTCCTGTCTAAATGTTGGCTGTAGTACAGTTCTGAGACACATACAGAGTGTTTTTCCTCAAAGTTCTTTTTTTTTATTTTATTTTTTTAGTTTTAATGCTTATTGTGTTGCTTCTGTGTTTAGAATCAATGTACCTGTTTTGTTTTGATAGGCTATTAAGATGGAACTTAAAAATGAGAGAAATTCCTTTGAAAAAAAAATCCAGGTAAGTCCTAGTTGTCTTTCTGTATTTTTTGCTCCATGCAGTGTGTGTTGGGATATCTGCTGTTATACATTCATAAATATGGAGAAGTCTTGGCTAGGGAAGTAGTGAAGCAACTCCTTTGGTTGATTCTTTTTTTTCGGTGGCAGGAAGGATTCCCCTTGTTTTTGAAGCAGTTTTCAGTGAAGCTGAAAGGCACTCATTAAATATTAAAGCTCTGTGGCTGGTACTCATGGCCAGCACATCATTAGGTTTCTTTTACTATATTCCAGGCTTATCTTTAAGATGATGACTTGCGTTTGGGATGTATTTAATATTAGTAATTTGAATTATAAGATATAAGAACTTAGAGTCTCTACTTATTAATCTGCTGCTACAGCATCTCTCAGTAAGAAGTTAATGCAACTTGCTCATAATCTAATTTAGTCTCTCGAAGAAGAGTTGCAAGAGAGGGAAAATGAGCTTGCTGTTGAAAAGAAGAATGGCTTGAAAAGGGATAAAACCATTCAAGGGCTAACTGTTGCACTAAAAGCAAAGGAAAAAGAGGTATGATGGCTATGATCTTGCTTGTTTTTAGATCCATTGCTGAATGTGTGTGCATGATGTACCTGTGTCAGGGATTGTTTTCTCTCCCTTTAACTGTTTAGGAAGCTTCTAGTAGATTCTAAATTGCTGCTGTCATGCATGTAAGCAGTTCTCTTTGTTATCTATAGCTTTGGGCCTTCAACTGGAGGGGAGAGGAAAAAGGTACTTAACTGATCCTTTCTCCTTAAGAACTTAGAGGAAAAATGATTTCATTTAAACGCTGCTGTTTATCAGCTCTGAGAGCCACTTAAAAGGTATGGGAAGTATTTTTTTGTTGTTGAGTGAGTAGAGCTGTCATAAAAAAAGGTGAAATAGTAGGTCAATGTCAGACGAAATTCGAATTTTATGGAGGAGAGGGAAGTGTTTAACTTGAGTGATAGGAGTGTAGTGAGTAGGGTGTGAGGCAAGAGTTTCTTTATGTGGGATTTATTATGATGCATTTGGTTTTAAAAAATCTTTGTTTTGCGTAGTTGGCTGGATGGATAATGAGGTGGTGGGATGGCTGTTACTGAGTCGCCATCCCTTGAAAATAACTTTGTGTAGTGTTCATTTTACTTCACTTAAAGAATGAAGAACTTGCTTCTGAAATTGAAGCTCTCAATACTTCGTTGGCTAAGGCAAGAGAGGCAACTCATCAAGCACACATCCAAAAATTCAAGGTAAACAAGCAGTTAATATGGCTTTCCCTTTCTCTGCACCTTCCTTCTCTGTATTTCCACATAACATGTATTACTTTGTGTTTGAAAGTAAAGGATTGGAAAATAGTTCAAAGAATTGGTATTTTTGAATGTTCATTTTTTTTTTTTTTTTTATGTAACACATTTTGCCCAAGGTAATTGTTTAAATGATTGAATCTTAGGATATCAGACTACTTGGTTCATTTTCTTCTTCTATAACAACTGAGAACTAAGTAAGAAATACGTAGAAGCACGAGTTGAAGATAAAGGTGCAATAACGTGTGGAGTTGAGATTATACTGAAGTCTCTGAATTGAATGTTTCTGTTGTTCTTCAAAATCTGCAGTAACAGCTCACCCTTCCACATCAGCAGTTAAAAAGGACCTGAGATGCTTGTTTGTAGTTGTATTTCTTCATGTAATCAATGTGAAGTCACTGTTTAAAAAATAATCATCCTTCTGCAACATCAGTTTCACTTTTGTATGTCCAAGGGAGAGATGACTTCATGATGATAAAGAGTGTAATATGTAAAATGGGAGGAAGTAAAAAATTGTCTTTCAAAACAGACCACGTAATGTACACCAGCTAATCTTAAACAGAAGCCTAGAGAAAAGTGGACTTGCTACTTTCAGTAATTAGTATTAATGGCAATAACGACTCCCATTATGATGATTGTTCGTCATTTGCTCTCAAATCAGTGGAAATGGAAGAGGTTGATATGTTTGCTTCTGCAGTATTCACCCAAGCTTTGTAACTGTCTGTATTGGGTTTTGATTTCAGTATCTAGTTGAAACAGTAGTGTTTAGTTCTCATAAAGCACCTCCACTTTTTTTTTCCAAGAAGTTTATTTCACATAAACCTGAATTTAGGTGTACAATACTGAAACAAGTACATCCTGTGCTGTCTCTGAGCCACTTTGTCCTCTGTGTGAAACTGTAGGGCTTTTTTTTTTTTTTATGTTTAATACCACACAATTACTGCTTTATGAAATATTAGTCTAATTTAACCCTTTTATTTTTGAGCTTGATTATTTTTGAGTTCTGGGTTTAAAAAACGTGCAACTAATCCTTCCTGCCCACAAACCCATGTTGCACAGTGTGTCACAGAGCAGGCCTTCCTCATTACTCTGCTCCTTAGCTGCAAACTTGAGGGCAGTTCTCTGTGAGTAGATCATAACCTCAGCTCCTGTCCCCTTGTTGTGAACTGGAGGCCTGTTGGAACAGAATGTGAGAGGGAAGAAATCACACTTGGTATTTTATATACCACATATGTGTATGATTTGATAACTTCTTGGCCTAGTCTGGATTCAAACTGACCCCAAAATAGCAATTTTATGTAATGAGAGCTTTGGGAACCAATAATAATACAGTCTCATTTATGCTGTGGATTCCTTTGCATGTCAGCCTTCAACTAATTTTTACTTATCTGAGACTTTGTCTTATGTTAGATGTCACTGAAAGCTTTGTTACGTTGGATACTTGAGACAGTGTTTAGTATAATGTTGGTATGTTATTTGGGTGACTCACTGGATTTTGGTATCAGAAACTTGAAGTGGTTGAAAGAGTACATGTGGGGAAAGCAACAGCAGTAAAACTTGCAGGTTGTACAAAGTACCTGTATAGGCTTTGACTGCTGCTCTATGTTTCAGGGTGCTGAGGATTATCAAGCTCTCCTGATGGAAAAAGAGACCCTCTTAGCAGAGCTGCGTTCAGAAAACCTCACAAAAGATGCTGAGAATCGTAAACTGCAACGGAGGATTAAAAGGACTGATCAAGAGCTAAATGATCTGAATTTAGAAAGAGAGAAAATGGAGAAGGAGCTGGATGAAGCACAGATGCAGAAGAACAGAAGTGACAAAACCATTAATGTTATTATCATTTTTTTTTCCTTCATTAAGTTTAGAAATGCTGTGTTTGCTTGTTACAACCATACCCTTTTCTAACAAATTTAAATTTTTAACTGGTGCTTTTTTGGAGAGGCAAATGTATTTGCTCAGTGTTCAGAAGAATTTGGCCAGGAAGACCAAGTAAAATTCTGGCACTTAGTCTGCACAGAAAAGTATTTTTTTTAAATCTTACTTTGATAGCCTTGGTTATGTCATAGCTAACTAAAATGGTTAGCCTTTATAAGCAGTGAATGGTAGCTTTTGCTACAATTTTCTGATTGCAGTCTGAACATGCCTGACACAGAATGTATGTGTTATTTCTGCTGTATTTACTATGTTATGTATCTCCTTTGTCTTAAATTGCAGTATATGTAAGTTCTAATGCAGTGCAAGAATAAGAAGCCTGTTGTTGCAGCCTGAAACATCAGCTTGCTTTTCACTATCGTAGCTTGGTCACTGTAAAGGCTGTAAAATTAATAGCAATTTTTGCTTGTAAAATCCCAAAACCACAACTTGCTGTATGTAAGAAAAAAGGTGCATCTGTTCCTTAGTCTTAATATTCTCTTCAGGGCTTTCTTGAGATGTGAGGGTAGATGTCTTGACAAGCTCTTCTTCCAACCTGCACACCTCATGCAACAAAGTGGATGGTTGGGCTGAACTCTTTTCTTCCTTTTGAAAAAAGATGCGCATTCTGCTGAGTGCAGGCATTAAATACTTCTCACCTCTCTTGCAATGCAGATTTTTCTTTCCCAAGGGCAGCACCTGCATGATGGGCAGACTCCTGCCTGGCTGCGAAGGCTGATAGTTTTCATTTAAAAATTAGCCTCTTTCTACCTTAAATAACATAAAAGATCAAATGAGCTTGTACTTCTTTAGTTTATATTTTGCCCTAATTATTGAATAAGGACTTTATTAAATGCAGTGTGTAGATATGGAAATTGCTGCCCGTGCAATATCGCTTAAAACCAGTAGAGGGATCTCTTTACCTACAAAGAAAGAAGATCTTTTCTCCCCAGCCTGCTGTATTTATTTAACTTACAGTTTGGGTTGATTGTCAGCTGTGGTTAGGCTCCTGTCACACGGTCTTTATCTTTGCTACGCTTTGAAATTTCTTCTGGGTGTTGAGGTTAAGGGAAGAAGGAACAGATAGCTGTAAAACAGCCACAAAGAACATATTTTATTGATTTAAGTATTTTGTCTTTAACTGTCTTCTCTATTCAGGATCTTTTTTCATCTTTAAGGGGAGCTAGAATATAAATCTGTATGGGAAAAGCACGAAAAATAGGACTGAGTAGGGATTTGCCAGGGGATTCAAAGTTACTGGTATTACAGAAATCTATTTGACTCCATTATGTCCAAGTTTTTCATGTAAATGACTGGTTCCTGGGGGAAAAGCATTCCTGTCAAAAGATGAGCAGTCTTATAAAAATTATATCCCTAACCTATTTCCTACTCCTTGCAGAACAGCTGCTTCAATTTCAGAGTTGCTAGTGCGTTTGGGTAGAGCAAGACTGCCTGTGAAATGTTGCCCATTAAGTAGTAGATATGTGGGAGTAAAAAAATATGCTGTGATATTTCACTGTTTGACAAATAGGAAACCACTTCAGTGATCTGATGCAAACCTCTTAGGAGACAGCCCTAAAAATCCTATTCTGTTTATGCCCTGTGTTACCTATTTATCAGTGTTTCTACTCTGTTATGACCAGTCTTGCTAGCTTTATTCTAAGCTGTCCTACCTCTTCCTCTCACTCAGGGAAGGTTTCAGTGACTTTTCACCTACAACATTGTTCACCTACATTGTAATGGCAATTTTTTTCATTATCTACTTAAAATGAAGAAGAGGGCAGATGAAGGGGAGGAAGGGGGAGAAGCAAACCTCTGGGTGAGGTTCTTCTGCCTGAAGGTGATTTGGGCATTACTGTCCTGCAACAGAAGATGCTTAAGCTGAGTTAAGGCTGCTGCGTGTGAGCTGGTCATCCAATGGCCCACAGCATGGCTCTTCTGAAGCAGCACATGTTCTTGACGTGTTGTCCCTGGCACTGTGGGTTGGATGCTCCAGCTTTTTTTTGTGTGTCAGCTTAAAAACTTTTTTAGTTCAGAGCTTTCCAGAAGCTGCTCTTGAGTTCTGCATCTGCATTTTAGATCTTTGAAACAAGAAGCTTTGGGCATTTATTCTTCCATACAACTGATGAGGAGTAAACATCACCATGTTCTACTTGTGTCCACCATCTTGCTACGTATATAACATCTAGTTTTTCTTGATCAAAGCCTTTGTCCAGCCTCAGATCATTCAAGCACTTTAACCATTGTCTCTCCAGACCTGTATATAGACAATTAGAATGTACTTGCTAGTTGCTCGTATTTGTTCACTTGTTTGGGAAGTGCATAACTCACTAGGTAGGATTTATTATGGAGTCTTCCTGCACGTAAGTTAGGCTGAGGGGGAGGTTTTGTAGCTTCATGACTTAATTATCCACCAGTTGCTCCCCATCTGATGAGGGGGAGGCATCTGCACCAGTCTTTGACGTTACTGTGTTTCACATTCATTTTTCTTAGTTCAGCTATCATTAATCATAGGAAAGTCTCTTGGGGAGAAAGGTTGGCAGAAGGAATAGCAATGCTTATGCTCTGAGAACGTAGGTACTATATTATCCTTGCAACTCAATGTATAGAAGCCAGAAAATTTTCTCTAAGACAATTTGAGTGGTCAATGAGTTCAAGCGACCTGCTATAGTGATGGATAGTTTTGTGTGTTACAGAATTCCATCTCATGCAAAGAAAATAACTTTCAATCTCAACTCTTAATTTGTTTGGAGAAGAATTTAAGGGAATATTGGAGGCAGAAATACTGGAGGCAAACTCTCACAGGCCTTTCCATTTCCTGCAATAATGTGTATTGCCAGTCCAGCTCTTTCCCTAGCTCTAGCCATAGTGTACGTGCTGCTTTAGAGGCAGAAACGTAACTTCTGTGCCTGACAAGTGTTGTACACTGAAAAGTCTGAGGCTAGGTTATAGGAAGTGGAGTACTATTATTGCCAACAGCATGTTTTCCATCTACACACGTCTGCATTTTCTCTTAAATCTATTTATGGTCTTCATAAAGAGAAACCACAGAGTAATAATTGCTTGAAGTTCCAGGACAAGTCACAAGTGTCTCTTTGAAATTTACTTACTGACTGCTGATACAGTAGCTCGAAGATGACATAAAAATAAAAAGGAGTCAACTTTGCAGTGCATCATGAAAGTCATAATGTTACAATTAGCCCTTCACTTCCAATTCCTGTGTAGGTGATGTGACCCATGTGAAGATGGCAGTAGCGGAAAGCCAGAAGGTTCTGCAGTAGTCAGACCTGATGCTACTTCCACTCTGTGATTTGCAGTTAGTAAAGATGGAATGGAAACATATTTTAGTTAGTATGTATTTACAAAATTTGGAACTGATGCTGTTGTCCTCAGTTTTCTTAGGCAAGCAAGTAGTTATTTTGGTGATGAAAAAATTATTAGTTTGCAGAACTAAGTGCATAAGTTTACCCATTCTTTGAAACAGAACAACATTTGATGAGGGTTTGTGGGAGCTATTAGGAATGTTTTAGCTGATTCCTGATAATGAAGCTAAAATTAAGCAAATAAACCAAAACGAGTTGCAAATGACAATTTGTATTTAATGTGCAAAACAGACATAAAGCAGGGAAGTAGTAAAGTGTTGCTAAAGATTTGATGTGAACCTGCATGAAGCAAGGTAATTAAGTTAAAAAAAGGGCATAAAGCAGTTTGTAAAGAGAATGCAATTAAAGTGTCACTAATACTATTTCCCTGTACCTAGGATAAGAAAACTATTGAATTTTAAATCCCAGTGGAGGTAAAAGTGAAGTTTATAGGTGTCTACCAGATGTGCAAACTATTTAAAGGGCTTATGATACTCCACAAATGGGCCCTTTTTGGAAATGCAAGGAAAACAAATTAATTTGGAGATGTGGGCTCTGTTAGCCCATTTTTTGTGTCTGAGGGGAAGTTTGGCATGAAAACAATGTGGAAATGGCACAGCTCATCTTGGAGCTGCTGGAAGGGAAAAGAGCAAATGTCAAACTGAATCAGCCATAAGCATTTTTTTCTTATTCCTATCAAAATAATAAGCAGACTCAGAAGTGAATGTTGTGACAGTAGCAACTTGCGTGTGTGTGTTATTCATAACAGCCTTGGTGTCCATTCATTCAGTGAGAAAAGCATTTAAACTAGAACAGTCTGGATTTTTAAAAAGCAATGCTGGTACCTTATCTTAAAGTTGTCTTGAACTGTATTTATAGATATTAAGAGAAAGCTGTAGAATTCAGTACGTTCACCAGAACATGCGGTGCTATGTGTAATCTAAAGTAATAGAAAGTTAAGCCATTAATGTGATTTGTCAATCTTGAACTTTTATTAAAATCGATTTGCTAAATATTCAATTTCATTTTTTTGTAGGATCTCAGGAATCAAGTAGAGAAATTACACGGTGAAATGGCTGAGAAAGAAAAAGCTGTTGAACATCATTACAATATTCTTTTGAGCGAAAGCAATCAGAAGTTGCAGAGCCAAGAGCTACTTATCAAGCAACTAACAGACAACGTCAGTCAAAAGGATCTTTGGCTTCAGGTAGGCAGACCTGAGTCGAAATGAAAAATGTGCAGTTATCATTTGGCTTTGTATGAGGAATGATTACAAAGTCCCATTTGTATTTGGATTTGCTGTTGATTTTGGTGATAATCCTTCACTTCTTATAATACTGTATTTGCAGAATGGACATATAATTATGAGGATCTGTGCCATTAAATAGATTTCTTACTAGGGTTATATTAAACGTTTGGACAGAGGGGGGAAAGAGCTTTTCTAATATTGATGCAGAATTTTCACTGCTGTGATAAGATACTTAAAAGCTTTGCAGTGCCTATGATTTACAATTTGTGCAGAGACCAGAGAAAGTAGGAGTTGAGGAATAGGTATGGATAGTGAAACATTTTCTCTCTCTTTTTTGGGGGTGGGGGGGAGCAAAGAGCCAACTCCAAGCAAAGTATGTGAGGTAGTAGCTGCCTGGGTGTTTAAGGTCTTGCTCAAAGCTGTTATAGCTGGAGGTATGATCCTGAGCAGTACTGATGGCACTCAACCAGCACTGTGACAACCGGTAATTGAGGTTGCTCTGCTCCAAAGTGCATGCATAAATACTGCTGAGTTTTCAGATTTAATCAGCATTTTTTCTTTTTTCTTTTTTCTTTTTTTTTTTTAATTTTTGTTAGTATTTGAAGGATTGAATAGCTGGCTGAAGCTTTTGTTTCTTTTTCTTTTTTCATTTCTGTTTTGCTGTGTTGAGCTTCTCTTTTGTAAGATTTATAAAGAACGTACTGGATCATCCTTGGTTATTTCCTCAGTTTTGTTTCTGTGTATATTTTACAGTATAAAACCAGAGTGAGTTTTGCCAAAACGTCTCATTGTTTTCTTTTGTTAGAAATCTGATGAAACAATTAAAGAAAAGGAAGCAGAATTGCAAGAGCTGCTGAATAAGTACAAGAACCTTCTAAGAGACAATCAAGAACTTGAGCTGAAAAATGAGGGCTTGGTAAAGGAAAAATATGCTGCACAGTCTGAACAGTCAGTCATCAGGATAGTCAGAGAGTTAGAGGTGAGTTTCACAGAACTGTGATCATTTGCAGCTAAATACTTTGACATGAAATTAATGACCATTTTCCCTTTGTCTTCATGCTTGTGGATTTGTGTGCGTTGTAATTCATCCATGTAGCAAGGGGCAGCTTTTCTTTCAGACCAGTGCCATTTTGATCTGTAACGAGATGATAACAGTGACTTTATTAGTAGTTGAGTTATTATTTTTAGATTGCTTGAAATGTTTTGCAAGCCTATGACTGTGATGCTCTTGATTTGGTATTAAAAGTGTACATAGAATTGTGCACTGATGAACTTGTAAACTTGACTCTTGAAAAGTGCATAAAATAATTTGTCTGCGTACCATACACGTGTAGAGTTTTGTGGTCATTAGGGTATGGATACTTCTGTGAATGGGGAAGTATCTCTGCTACTGAAGAGCAATGCAAAGGAGAGTTTGTACCCTCCTAGTAGGAAAGGGGAAGGATTAAACGTATCTAATGAACATAAAAGAGAAGGGACCTTGAGTATAAGAAATCAGAATACAGGTACAGTTACATTTTTCCCCCTCTATTTTGGCACTAGCCAAGAGGAAAGATTAAGAACTGACAAGAGGTTTTTTGAATCACTTGCTGACTCCATCAGTGCATTGTTTCTTGTTGTGTCCAGATTAGTGGAGAAAGAAGTTTCTTTTAGAGATACATTCTGTTTTTTGTATCACTTGCAATGTAGTCTGTTAAGATCTCCAAAAGGATTATGCAAAGCAGTAAGAATCAGACTGATACTTCCTTGTGGTGGAGAAAGCTATTTCATTTCTTTAATAATAAATTGGTCACTAATGACACTTTATTGAGGATATTTAAAATGAAAAGAGCCAATGGCAAAGGAAACATGAGTACTACGTGTACTGTCACATTCTGAGAACACTAGTGATGGAATGTTTAATATGTTAGGGACCAGATTGTTAAATAAGGTAGGTGCAAACACAGTCTGAGACATGAGTTATTTGACAAGCACAAAGATAAGGAGCTGAAGCACTGTTGGCCAGGATACCAACAAAGAGTGTAACAAACTATGAATGAATATGCATACAGGGAAAATGAGGTCTGTGAAAGGCTGTGTAAAAGTTTTAGCTCTGTAAAACAAACTGCAGTGTGTGCATGTACCTTCTGTAATGAAGGGACCTAGTAGTGATGGAAAATCATACAGAATTAATACAAATCCAACAGTGATTAGCTTTTGGGCACCCCACTTCAGATACAGGTGTACAACCAGGAAAGAGAACAGTGGCAAGTGAAGCCATGCATGGTAATGACCCAATACCCACCTGCTAATCACAACCTATTCTGTATTGCTGGTTCACTTAGTGATTGTGAACAATACCTAATCACAACCCTTTGTCCTCTCTGCTCAACCTCTGTGTAAGATATCACCTCTAAGAACCCCTTTTGGCATATTAATCATAAGTTTTTGGACACAGATTATCTGGAGCTCTTCTCTCATTGGCTGCTTTAGACTCTTTGATGACTTTGCAGTGCTGCACCAACGCTCAGCAAATGCACAGTGGGATCCTCCCCACCAGAGAGAACAGAAACCGAGCTGTTCTGGCCTCACTGATCTCTAAAGTTGAAGAAACGGAATTGAGAGATGCAGAACTTTCTCTCTTTCATCATACCTTTTTTACTTTATTTTAATGTAATGATAAATTTTAAAGCAACCAACATCCAAAGCTCTGCTGGGTGCCTTGGCCAGGCCGAGGAAGATAAATGACAGTTTCCAATTAAAGTTTGGATTCTTGAGCCACTGTTACGGGCTGGAGAGAGCAGGGAAGGGAGGGAGTGTGCGAGAGCACTGCTGATGAGGTTAGTCATGCAACTGCTGACTCTGGTATCTATGAAGTCTAGGAATTAAGTATTTTTTACAGCAAGGAATTTAGAAGTGCAATGGACTCCTGCAATTTTGAAAACTGTAGATGATTTTGTGCTTAATGCTGCTCTCACTCCCAATACTCCTTTACTTGCAAAGCTTTTTTTGTTGGACAATTTGTTAGGCAAATACATTTCTAACAGATTTGTAGACCTTTGCAGTTCATTCCAATACTGAGAAAAGCAGGGAAAAGCAGGAAAATTGAGAACAGTGGCTCTTGCTCAATCCTGTATGTATGTTTCTGGGTTCTGTTGTGTTACACATATAACCTTGCATACAGCAGTAGGGAGTCACAGTGATGTGAATTTTAATTCTAAATTGGTTTCTCTGAGTGTCCAAAAGAATCCTTGGATTTGCTGTGATATCTCTCCATAATGTCTGTTTCTGAGAAGGGAAGCTTATGTGCCACTTGAGGGGTGGAGTGGGAAATGAGAGCAGCTGAAACCTGATGTTTCTGCAAACAACACGGTGCTTTTTAATTCCTGTACAATCAGCACATTATTTGACTTCAGTTATAATTACTGCAGTATTTTGGGAGTTAATGCTGTGCAGCCAGGGAATTGAAGAATACTGTGTGTGCAGTTGTGATGTCTGATTTCCTGCAGTTGGTGAAGTTGTAGTCAAAGCATGAAGTCACTGATGTAGCCAGTGCTGCAGTTGCTGGGTGCTGAGAACCAGAATTGGTGCAGCTCTATGGATGTGTCTTAACTGGTAAAACGATGCAGTGCTGTTGCCAAGTCATCAGGGAGATGGAAAGTGTTGTAGCTGATTTTTTTAATACAAGTGTCTATTAAACAGTTATCAGTGCTTTGTAGTTGTTGTTTTCAGCCTCTTTCAATTGCTGTTGTGAATGCATGAACTGGGAAGCAATTCAGCTTCTGGTCTGATGAAATTGGCTCACAGCTGAAATCAGCCATCGTTTTTGTCACTATCCTTGTGTTCACGCACTGCAGCTGTGATGCTTTTCACTGTTACACTGATTGTGGCTTCCTGCTGGGGTGGGATCTGTGTATTGCAGCATTTCCATATTAGCAGCAGTTTCATCTTAACAGAGTTAGCCTGATGAAGTGATATTTGCAGATGTTTATAGTCCAGTAATCTCGCCATATATATCATCAGGAGGGGCCATGAGTTCCTCAGAGCCATCAGCTTTTTGACATTTTCTGTGGTTGAGATGGCATCTTCTAAAAGTCAGCAGCAGTCTTTAGCTTCAGTAATTTCCATCTTCAGGTCTGTGACTCACTGGCCTGTAACGATTTTGATCTTATTAGTGATTGTTTCATTTGCAGTAGTCCATACGTCCTGTTCTCTGCAAGGTTATAAGAAATGATCAAATCCTGGTGCTGATGGCTGCCTGGCCGGGTCAGTGCTGGGCTGTAGGTTGTGGCCTCATCTCTGTCGTTCATTCCCTGACCTTCACAGATTTTAAAGTGATCCCAATGAGGCCACCAAATATTCCTGTGACGCTGCCAGTAGGTTACTTACTGCAGAGGTACAAACCTTTTTCCTTTCTTTGCTTACAATTGCAGAAACCTTTTAATGAAAATAAGTGATGTTTTCCACCGCTGCTGCTTAGCAATAGTATTTCAGATTTAAATATAGACTTTAATGTATTAGATTGCCTGCTTTCACGGGAATATAAATCTTCCACTGCAATATGGTCCTGGATGTCTTGCAGCTATCTCTTCTAACACATTTTCCCTCACACCATGTGTCAAGAGGTTTAATGTTTCATTAACTCCCACAGCATTATGGTCTGTGTAAGTTACGGAGCTGCCGTATGTTTTGTGTACCTTTGGGGAGTTGATTGGAATAATTCACTCCTACGCTTTATTTAGAAGTGACAGTAATAATGTGCCCCAAAAAAATGCTCGTGCTGTATCTTCTCATCCTTATTATTCAGGGAAGAATCTGAATAATCAAGAACGTTTCTTCATGATTTTGCTAACCTTTACCTAGCTAATTGAATTTAGACTTTGTAATAATTTGCCTATAATCTGTGACATTTGGAGTTTAGAAACAGCCCTTGTTAATGGAGGAAAAAAAACATTGGGAGGTTTTCGTGAGGTTGCTCAGATTTTGGTGCAAATGTTGAACTGAATTAACTCATGAATTCAGAAAAAAGGGTAAGAAAAGAGGCAAGGTCTGTGTAGCACTGCTTTGCTAAGCAGCAGTCACAGCCCCTGAACAACTGGTAACAGCCGTTATCTAATGTGCCTGTCCTAAACTCTTCAGAGTGACATTACTCAGAAAGACCTTCTAATTAGGATACAGTTCTGTAGTATTTTCAGTAATAATTACAAGGCTTGTATCAGACATATGGAAGAGTTCACTAGAACTTTTAACAGGCTGTTAACCAACTAAATTAAGTCAAAAGATTTATCTCTTCCCCTTCCTTTTGTGTCATTGATCAGTGCTGTTGTCAGCGATGAACGCTGTTCCAAACTGAATTGCAATCAGAGTACTTCATGCTTAATGCCTATGCTTATAAGGCTGGGATTCCTGCACGTTGCTAAGAGTCCTTAACTCAGGCTGTGAGATTCATTTTTTGACACTTTTTAAAAGGCATTTTTTATTAATGGACTCTGGATCACCCATCTCAGCCCGTTAGCCTTTGTGTTCCTCAGCACTCAGCCAGCAGAAGTCATTGCTGTGTGCTGCTTCTCTGCTCGCCCTGGCAGTAAGCTTGACTTGAAGCTCAGTATTTTGCTGCTCACCTATAAAATAGTTTTGAACGTACAAACAGCACGAGAACCTTGAAACGTGTGTTAGGACACCGTGAGGGATGGTGCTGGTGGAGCGTGATGAACACAAAGACAAGGTCACTTCTTCAAAGAGCCCGCAGGGTTAAGTGGCACGAGCTGCTCTTCCAGCACTGAGATCTGTTATGCAGATTACTCAATGGAAATAATTTGATCAAAACTTGATTACATTTGCAAAATATTATTTAACGTGTTTGCTAGCACACTGTGAAGTACGAGCATAAATAATTAAAAGTAAACAACAGTTGTCCTTGCTTTTGTGCTGTTTACTTTGCAGAATATGAGTTCTTCAAATTAACAGTCTGCATCGTTAGCGTGAATTAACGAGATTCCACTGTAGCTGAATTTTTGTTGCAGTTTCCTGGCTTAGGAACTGCAATTGAAGTAATAACAGCTGCTTGAAACTCCTGGGTGTAGATTTCTTCCCTGTTAATGATGTGTTCACTAATGATTTAGTATCTCTTGAGAGTTTAGTTTCCAGACTTGAGGTTGTAATGTGGAGAAAATAGAATTACCTTTCATTCCTGTCCTCTGGAGTTATCTTGTCATGCTGGAGCCATGCACACCCCCCTGGCTGTGGCACTTTTTTTGTTTGTGCTTTCAATTTTCAAGTGGAAGGAAAAGTGAGAGAAGCATCGTGGCCTTTTCTTCTCAAACAGAGACAGAAGATACTGTGCCTGACATTAATACATTTACATTTCCTTTAGATATCCCAGTTATTTTCTCTTCCGAGGCAGCTGACATCTTAGGTATTTTTATGTAATAAGAGCAAGCAAATACTCCTTTAAATAGCTGCATTTTTTTGCTTCCTGCTGAAAAAGTGGCTGAGTGGTTGTTGGATTGAAAAAAGTCTTCGGAACTTAACAGTGGATGCTTACTGAGAAAGTAGCACAGGAGTCTGGATTTATTCTTGTAATAATATACCTTCTGTGAGCAAGGCTGCAGGCAAACAATTTTTTTTGTATGAGTAAAGAAAGCAGCTTGGAGTGACCCAGCTTGAGTGTTCAGACTCGACGAGCACGAGGCTGGCATGTACATCCTGTATTTGTCGGCTCAATGCAGACCTTTTTATTCAGAAATGGAACAGAGTTTGCAGAAAACCCGGCCCCAAAGAAAGCCACTTTTATCCAGAAAATGGAGAGGACTGTTAGGACAGTGTTCTAAAATGGGGACTTGGTCTTTGGGCTTCTACTCGCCTTTCCCTTTTCTTCCCTATGATAACAACTTGCTGGGTTGTTCCTGGGTTGAGCCACTGTTTGGATCCATAGCTCACTTATGATAGGTAAATAGCAAACCACTATTCACGTCCTGTAATAACAGCAGATTTACGTGTCAGAAATCATTTCCAGATTCACACGACATTTTTGAGGTGGGCACTCCTGTCTTCTGAGTTGCTCTCTTCACCTTCTCTCCTTTTCATGGCTGCACGAAGTTGTAGACATGCCGACATAAAAAGTGCATCCAAAGATAACTGTTCTTTTCTTAATTTAGGAAAAAAAAGAATCTGAATATGAAAAGCTGATCCTTGCTTTAAAAAAGGAACAAAACATTTATTCTACACTGGTGCAGACCTTTAAGGAATCAGATAGGTAAGTAATTTTTCTGTTTTGATGGTCAATCTAAACTCAAAGAAAGTTAGAAGATGTGAATAAAGGTGCAGCTTAACTGGGTAGGCAGTATTTTGTGCAGGCTGATTGTTACAGGTGATAAACTTGCTGTTGTAGGCTTCTTAAAAAAGAAATGTTTTTGTAAAGAAGGGGATGTTATTTCAGTGAGCTGAATCTTTCTGGAAATATTTCTCTTTAGATTAGATTTCCATTTGCATACAAAGAAAGCAGATAGGTTTTCAGAGGAGGTTCTTGTCCTGTGTTGGAATGTAGGGGAAAAATCAAATCCCTGTCAACTGTGCTGCGCTGGATGATTTACCATAGTCTGCTCCTTCTCAAATAATAATATAATGCTTACTTTAAGAGTGGCACAGTGAACATTTTGATGAGAATTAAGCAGGTGAGGTTTTGGAGATGTTTAAACAAAATAGAATAAGTGAAATTTTCATAACATTCTTTCAACATCAAGCATTCAGAAGCATTCTAAACGGCAGGAGGTAGTGCTTTTCAACCTTTTAATATCAAAGAGCACAGCATTTTAGAAAGAAATCTCTAACCTACTTTGTATTCTGCTATTGCTTGGCATTGAGGAAGAGATGTTCTGATGAAATGAGCAATATTCTTAGCCTTTGGGTAAAAGAAATAATGTTTAATAAAATGTACTTCTGCTGTTATAATTACAAATATCTTAATTAGGTACTGGGGACGTTTAGGAGATGGCTCCTCACTCTTACTGCCTGAATGCAGTGGCTCATACCTGCCAGCTTTTTGGGAATGCCTGTTTGTGTTTTGCGGTCAGCGCGTAGGAGCTGTAGTTTGGAAAGCAGCAAGTGAGTAGCACTGAGGTAGATGAGATCTGGAATTTGAATGAGGCACATTAATAGTAATGTCATCCTGTGCTTGGCCACAGCTCAGAAGCTGTTTTAGAGAATGGAATCTTTCTCATTAGAAATAGTGATAGAAGGCAGACTATGGAGATTATTTCTTATCTCCAGGAGAAGATCAATGGCTTTTGTGGCAATCACCAAATGAAGGAGGGAGCCCATTTGGTTCAGTATTTCACACAAAGTGCCCTGCTGTTGAAACAGTCTGTGGGTGAGGTGGTTGTGTCAACACTGTGTAGTGATGGCAGCAACAAAGAAACAGATCTGCTGCTATCTTTTCTTAGAATATCTTTCAAATGGGGAAAATTGTAACAGTAGCTGACTGTGCAACTTGAATGGGGATTTTTCAAAATAAGATACTGATGTCAGTACCATGACATTCCTTGTCTCTCCAAGCAGAGAATCGATGCTTATTCTGATAAAACCTTTAGCTCATGAGGAGGAGAGAATGTGCTTACTTAGCTTCTACTAATGTCTTGCTTTGCTTTTCTTCTTAATTTTTGCTGAGCATTTAAGAGAGTTTTCTCTTCAAAGAATATTCCCGAGCCAGGGAGCGTTAGTTAAAGGAGTGGGTTCATGTGCAAGAAATACTGACAACAGCACACTTGTCAGAAGACAGACCGAGAGTCTTTTCATATATGCTGCCTTTTAATTAATGTGTTTCTGCAAGATGCTGTTATCCTCATGCAAGTATGATGCACTGTTTGCTCCTGTGTAGCCTCCTGTAAGGCAGATTTGAATTTTGTTTTGAAGGATTCCTGAATTCTTAGGCATTTCAATATTGTGGGTTGGAAATTCTACGGCAGCATAATTTATCGTAAAGTCCTGAGGTTGAATTTAATGACAAAATAAAAAATACAGTGAGTTCGGTAGCACATTTTTTATCAAATGCTGTTTATTTCATACTGTTACAATTTCAGTTTTTAGTGTAGTTAAGTCTTTTTCTGGACTGATTGTAGCTGTCTTGTCGGTGCTGGTGAAGGGTGATGGGGATGATCTAGCAAGGGACAGCTGGATGTGCTGACATGGAGAGAAGCAGGGGGCAGTGACTGATGCTAAAGTAAGCACTTCGGTGACTATGCTGGGAAAAAAAAAAAGCTGCTTAAGGAATTAATTCATGTTGACAAATTGTCATTTTTAAGTTTTGAAATTTATACCCAGTTGAGATAATTGGCACCATTTAAACTTGAAAGGTCTTTTTGCAGACTGCTGGCTGATGGAAGAAATAAAATAGTTGGGTTGTGCCCGAATCATATTTTCAATGAAACATGGTTTATTTTTTTTTAATCTTTATTTTTTTAGGGGAGCATTGGATTGTACAGTACAGCCCTGTAGCAGGGGAACAGAGTTTCCATAGTCACCATATGGAATAGACTAAGATTGGTTGTTTTGGTTTTCCTTCAAGCAAACAAACAAACACCCTCACATTTGCCCAATACAGTGTATCTGTACTGCTTAAGCTGATTTAAAAGTAGCAACAGTTCAAAACAGCAAGAAGAGGATGTGGATGTAAAGGTTTGATACCTCCTTTCTGTATAGGGATTAGTTAACTCTTACGCATCAAAACGATGTGTGATGAAAACCAGTGCTGGCTGTGTGAAATGGGGTCTTTGTGGAAGACTGGAGGTGTAAAAGATGCTGCCTTGCCTAACTGAGGGCTTCGAATCAAAATCTTAAATGTTTTTTTTTAATTTCTGGTTTTCTTCTTTTTTCCTTAGTTTAAATAGCTTGCAGACAGAATTAAACAAGATCTTCATGTTACGGAAACAACTCGAAGATGACATTCTAGCCACTCGGAATCTCCAGAAGGTCTTAGAAGATCAGGTTAAGAATGCTAAAAACAGGCAAGGTCTGTATACACGTGCAGCCCTTCCCTTTTCTTGATCTTCTTGCACAAAAGAAAACTGGTTTTATTGCACTCAGTTTGCTGTGATGGAGGAGAACCGTTTGAAATTAGATAAAGGTGTAAGAAAGACTTCAGCCTTCTGTACTAAAAATTATTTGGGGGATTTGTAACAGAATATCTTTGAGCAATCAGAACTCATAAAGAGTTGTATAAAGGGACAGCTTTTCTCTTTCCCCGCAGCAAATGTTAGTAATTCTGTGGCAATTCTACTGCAGTGATCATTTCAAGCTGCCTACAATTTTGTACCCATAGAATTTCCTGTTTTCTGCAGAAATCAGATTCCTGGCTCTGTGGCCATGGGATCACTTTCTGTCCCTGGAACTTTGTAATTGGATGATATTTTGCTAAAGAGCTTATGTCTCAGGAAATTGGTAAACTCCTCCTAAGGCAAGAAGCACTTCCAGAGAAGAAAAACATAGCCAGTAGTTTTATTCTTTTGTAGTTTATTCAGAAATATTAGAGCTTTTAAATACAGTTTGGTTTTACTTCTTTGAAGATGGTTTAAGTTTACACTTAACTGTAGAAAAGAATGATGGATATTAAAAGTTCACTGCATGTGCAGAGAGATCTATTTTGTTCTTAGGGGATACATTAAAGAACAGCAAAGCCTGTTCACTTGGCCTTTCAACTTACAGTTTCCATTTTGGCATCATTCTCTTCTCCACTTTGATAAGTGACCAAAGGTGAGCTTCTGCTTTGTCACAGTTTCCAGCCTCCAGAGTAAAGAGGTGATGAACAGCCAGGAGAAGCCCAAAGGAGCTGTGGGTACCCCTAGTCCAGTTGTCAGAAGCAGTGGGGGCTGTAGCTGAAGCTGTGAGGGAAGAAGCCTGAAATTTTGTGATCATTTGTGAATCATCGGATCCTCGCAGCTTCCATAGGATCAGTGTCAGAGTTGGGAATAGAATTTGGATGTCTCCTCTTTGTCACAATTCAGAGATGCTTTCTCGCTGTCTAATGAGATAATATTAAAGAATTGTCAAATTGCTGTAAATGAACAGGTGTTTATTGAAGCATAACAAACCAGTCATGTGGTTGTAGAGGCAATTCCATTTGTTTTCAGTTCCTTTGGCCCCAAAGCAGAATGAATTCTGTGACCTTGTCCAACCAGGCTCTTTGCCTCGAGACTTCTAACTCTTAGAAATACAGCTAGAATAACTGCTCATGCCTTGCTTATCCTTCCTAAAAAATGTTTCTAAATATAATGCTAAATATGCAGATTATAATGTGGAATTGCATCCACAACTCATGCTGATAACCACAGAAAATACAGCATGTCTAGTTGTCAGAGGCACAAAGAAATGTAAGGACAAAATTGGTTCAATTGAACATAAAGCTTATTTTGGGGAATGAAACAGTTTTAACAGGCCTCCCCCAGACTTCCTGGTAGGCTCTAATTTGAAAAGTCCTCTCTTTGCATCTTATGCTTTCTTTTCCTGCAAACAAATGAGAGTTTCTGAAATAATTCCTGTTGTTGGTTATTTTGACAGATGAAACGCTATCTTTCTGTGGAGATCAAACATCTTATATGAGTATTTGCTTAGGAGAGCAAGATAATTTAAACCTACAGATAGACCATCTGTCTCTTGAAGAACTTAAGAAAAAGGTATTGATCTGTTTTAATATTTACTGCTTTTAATGACTTAATTCTGATTCATTTGTAGTTTGTGCATCTCTCATGGGAAGAAGCATTTTATTTAGATATGACTTGCTAGTTCTGAAAGGATTTGATGTTCTTATCTGTGTGGTTTGTGATCCACCCTTTATGAGCAGTTTCTACTTGTTACACAACATGAGCTTGAGAGTCAACTGCAAGGCAGGTGAGCTGCTGCAAAGCTTTTCAAATAGTCAGCTGGGTTCAGGTTTCAAACTCAATGCCCTATTTTAGTGATCATGAAGTATGCAGACTCAAAAGAAAAGTTTTTGTATTAAGTATCCTACAATGCACATCTCACCTGCCTTTATTAGTCATGAATATGGTAGTGGTGTCTGTAATTTATTCTGTATTGCACACTCCATCACCGGCTTCACAATTTTTTTGACAAATATGGAATGTTAAAAAGGAACCCTGAGGTAGGTTAATATTATCTTCATTCTACATAAGTAGAACAGAAATTCAAAGAAATTAAATTTGCAGACAGTTGTCAAGCAATAGATTAGTATTGGAGTTCAGAAAACTGTTCTAACTCATCATCCTGTGCGTTGATCTCTGAGCAGTGCACCAATTTATGATAAGGAACTGTGCTGAATGCAATTGTTTGAGATTGAACATAAGTGAGGCTTTCCATTTCTCATGGGCAGCTGAATAGTAGGCAAGTGTTCAAAATGTGTGTGGGGGTAATGGGAAGGAAAGAATCTTGCCTTATACTGAGCAGGTGTAAGTAAAAAAGCCCCAGACTGTCTATCAGTCCCATTCTGAGGAACACTGCCTTTATCTCTGAACATATTCCCTCTGGCAAATTCAGGGACAGCATTAGCAAAAGATGTTGATAAACCATTTCTTGCCTGAAAAAAAGGTTCTATGACTGCATACTGATCTGCTTTTCGCAAATACACTAATTGCTCTAATAAAAACATTTCACCACCTTCTGCAAGTGCTGCCTTCTTGATATAAGTACGCAACTCTGTGTCCCTGATGTCTATTCAAGAGTCTTGAATGTGACTGTTCACTCTGATGCAGATTTTGTATCTGTGAAATAACTCAGTGGTAGTGTCTTATAGGGTGTTTGAGGTACAAGAACAGATTGCTTCAGAGTGTTACTATTTCTATGTAGTGCTGGCTTCCCTTGCATCAAAAAGGGAATCAAAAATCTTCATAAATCAGCCTGTTGTTGTGAGGTGCTCTTGAGTTTCTTTCTGTTGCTGAATACTGAAGTTTGGTGCTTCACCTTAGCTGGAAATTAGAGTCTTCCAAGTTGAGATTTCTTGAACACCAACTTACAAACACATTGTCATGTTTTCCTTATGTAGGAAGATTGCCTCATGAGCAGTTACAGGAGCCCAGACATTCTAACTTTGCAGTTTAGCTTTACATAGAGATTTATATATTATAATTTGCTTTCATACTAGCATGGATGCTATCAGTTTTGATTGTTCTTCCTTTGGTTGTTTAGGTTACTGATCTTCTCTTGGTGGTTAAAGACCTGCAGTTAATTAATCAAGAACTTAAGATGAAACAGCTTGGATTCTTCAGAACAGATTCTCAAGGGAAGGAAGCAGTGAAGATATTAAACCAGAATGAGGTAGGTTTTCAGTGTTAAAGCAGTGAATCTGAGTCTCACCTCTAATGTACTTTGTGGAATGGTTTACATAAGTGAGAATGACCATAAAACCTGGGGACTTGAGATCGTTAATTCCTTATAGGAACTTAAATTAATCATGGAAATGAATTTAAGAGGTTAACACAAGATCTCACAATCTCAATTCAGCAAGTGTTCAGAGATGTTTTTAGTAGATTTTAAAGAAACGACATGTATGTTAAAACATTTATTGGGTCTGCCATCTGTTGGTTTCCTCATTTAGAAGAGGAAGAAAGAGTTAATTTTGCTTTACAAGTAAGCAACGTCCTGTCGTGATCATCTCAGTACAGGGCACAAATTCCTTTGGTGTCATCAGAAATCGCAAAATATTCTTGGCTTTTCAGTTTCAAGACATGCTTTTGTTACCTTTACTTGAAATATATTTTAATCGAAAATATGCTTAAATTACAGAACAGCCTTTAGGAGCGTGGTGAATTGTATTCAAACAATACATTTTCAGGTTGTTGTAATGGTTCTGCACTGAAAAGCTTGTGGGCAACCCGTTTCAGAGTGCTTGTGCTTTCTGTGGGTGTCTCCCCTGGTCGTTTGCCGTGCCGTCCTGCAGAGGGTGCTGCACTCCCACTGATGCCATGGCTCAGACCGAAGGAATTGGTGTCGTTATCATGACAGGATATCGTGACCATGCGTTTGTCTCGGCATGGGTGGAACGTGTGAGGCTGCTTAGGAAGCTGCCTACGTGAAAATAGATGTGGAATGGCAAAGAGTGAAGCCTGTAAAATAAAAGCCCCCAAAATTCTTGTAGCAGACATAGGAATGTAAAATTTGGTAACATCTGATTGCGTGTCAGTATGATGACAGTGCTGTAGAGCTCAAAAGTTAGAGGAGCTGTGATTAAATGCTTTTAGCTTAAAAGGGACTATTTCATCAGCCTTGGCAATAAAGGGCTATCTCGTTTCCAGGCTAGGGATTGTGACAACGGTGTATTTTGCATGTTAATAACAGTTGTCAGAGAGACCATGTTCTATTTCTTGTGTGTATTTTGGGCAAGGATTTGTTGGCAGGTAGTGCTGAGATGATGCTAAAGAGGAATTGGGACAGGAACAGAAGCATGCACCCTTCTCAGGTTCTTAAAATGAACCCATCTTTCTTTTCCTTCCGAAAGCCAGAGCACAGATCAGATAAATGTGCATCCTGGGAGTCTCTGCAGGGCATCTCCCAGGGGCCTGGCAGCCTCCGGTGCTCCATTTCTTGGCCTTGTGTTTGCAAGGGAGTGAGGAGAGCAGAAAAAGGTTGTTTGTGTGCTGTCCTCTGAACATCTGCTTTCTCTGAGAGAAGCAGCCTCAGTGATTTCAGCCTTCAGGGCTCCGGGGATCTTTACAAACCAAGCATATCAGTGGTTCATTTAGGAAACGGTTTTCAGTCCCCAAGGAAATACTTTAAACAGGCTGCTTATTTTTAGCAGACTTTTTTTTCTGTCCTAAAGCCACTTATTTGCTTCTAATATTTTGTTGAGCATTAGATTATGTTCCTTGGAGCACAGAAAGTTTCCTTTCAGCATCTCAGACGTAGGACCAGGCTTAAACTGCAGCGATTCCTTGTTATGGTGTGCTGCAACCTGTTGGTCTGACATAAGAGTTCTGTTCTGAGCAGCACCGCTTATTTAGTCCAATACTGGCCAGGGAAACTCGTATGCAAGGAAATATTGAGCCAGTAGAGGTAGTTGCAGTAGGAGGATAAGTTGCATATGCTAATAAGTTGAATTTTAATACACAAATGTGTAGATTCAGGTCATCAAACCCTACATGGAAAACTGAAATTTAGTCATATTTAGCAAATGTGGTTGGGCTTTTGATTTTCTATGACTGCAATGAAAAGCTGTCTTTTTAAATGCATGTTCTTGCTGTCTATCACAGCTCTGCCTATCTTGCTCTGATTTTCAGATTGCCTTTACTTTGTGTTGTCCTGGAAAACTGAGTTTTAAGTGAAAATACCAAGATAATTGAAGCGTGACTTAGAAGTTAATTTTGAATATAGATTTCTAATAGTAAAAGGCAAATATATTAATAGACTGCACCATCCAGTTACTTAAAACCATTAGAGCTGATTATAATGCCAGAGATCGGAAGATTAAAAAAGAAAGCTTTTCTCATTTATTTCCCATATACATTTATGTGCACCTTTTGTGCTCAATTAAAAATAAAAACAACGAACCCACGCATGTGTTCAATTCCCAGTGTTCATAGGAAGCAAAAATAACACTCCCTGCAGAATCCTGTTTGTCTGCACTTGGATGGACGTGCTGAGAGCCAAGACTTTACAGCATGTGATACCAGGGAAGCAGGTTTTTCTTTTCATGTCCCAAGTTTCAGCTCCACACTTTGTATCCATCAAAACTATAAATATCACATCTCAACCACTAGGCTCCAGTTTCTTTCCTTTCAATTTGTCATCTCAGTCTCTGTGCCTATACTCTTAGTTTACTGCTTTTTCTGTGAGCGTGCTCAGGATTCTGCTTCCTCTCGTCTCAAGTTGATTTTTCTGTAGCTCCACATGACTGTTAAACACAGCAGTGCTATGTTATTGGCACAGTGCTTTAAAGGTAAAAAATGGAATCTAGTGCAAGTCTGAATCTGCTGTGCCTATGCTATATCCTGCCTGTGGATTAGACATCCTAGGCACAGCATCGTTGGTATTTACCATCACTCATGTTCCCTATTTTTAATGAGGTTCTAGCAGGAAAGGTCTGAAATAACCATCTTTTTCTATTAGACTGAAAAAAGATGCTATAAACAAAATGATATAAATGTCCGGTCTGGTTGAAATTTTAGCTCAGATTTCTTTAAATGAAGCTGTTTGGATGCTGTCTGCAGTGATTCAGAGGCTCTGTGCTGTGCTTCTCCTCTGGTGCTCTGCTGCTTATTCTTCCCAGCTGGGTAGGGTTGGAGCTGCTCTCTGGCTCAGGTCTGCTACAATTTGGGAACCTTTGTTCCAAAGTGTTGCTAAAATACTAAATTTTGCCAAATTCATACCACAGTGCAGGCAAGAACTCCCCCAGAAAGCACCAGTTTTACTCTGTGAGCTACAGGAATGTGGCCAGGGATGTAAATGGATTATTTTCACTCTTCTGCATTACTAAGTACTTAGTTATATATCAGCAGAAAAAGTAAAAGAGACCAAAGCTTGCTTATGCTGTACAGCTCCAAGGGCCTCATCATAGGTAAATTCAATACCATTTGCTGCAAACTGGCAAATTCAGGCTAGACAAAGCAGATGTAACTGTTGTAACTCTTTCTTGAAAGCTGCATGTGCTTTCTTTGACAAGTGTCTGTTTCGTGGGTGCTGGAGAAAAGCCCTAATGGTGCAACAAGGAAAAGTGAATTCTGGCAGTGGGAAAATAAAATAGGCACAGTGAGAACATGACTGAAGATAGGGGATGTTTGTCTGGAGAGCCTAAAAGATGCTCACTTGTTATTGTAATATCTGAGGGGAGAGGGTTAAATAACAATGAAGTAATGTATAAAATAAGGTTTCACTGTAATATGAATAATTCCTGGTTTTTATATTAATTTTCTTTGATCTTGTTGAAGAAATCTAATTTGGTGTTTGTTACTTTGTATTGCAGGCTTTTTTTGTTTTCTTTTAAGACATGTCACTGACTTATTTATGCATGTTTCATATCACAGTATTCTTTTGTGCTACATTTTCACATCATTCCATACTTTGTGTAGTTTCTTGAAATAACAGAAGAGCAGGTGAAGCAGACTGAAGATGGTGACAATGACAGGAAGATGCAGAGCAGTCAGTTTTATGAGAGGGACAGTCAGGTAGGACTGCACTGAATGCACTGTGTTTCGTCTTAAAAAGTCTGTAGTTCAATTGATGTGAGGTTTGTCTGCTGCCATCACTGATGAGAAGTATTTGAGATCCTTCTGGGTTGGAATACTGGATGTCATGGTAACTTGCTAGAGACATTTGTGTACTTGACAAAAGCTTCTGGAATCTGCTGTACTCTGATCATTCCAAAGCATCATGGTATCTTAAAATAATTCAAGTTAAAAGGAACCTCAGAAGATATAAAGTGTAATTTGCTGGACATTTCTAATAGTTTGAAAATGGTGAGGTGCTAAAATAGGGCACAGAGTGACACATTTGGAGTGGTTGTGCTGAAGCACAGTGACATGCTGCTGTTTGTAATGTCTGTGTTTCTCTGTTGACTAGATATGCCTTCATGAACCCATGGATTGTCCTTCTGAGGTGAATAAGCAGGTAAATGTTGTAATGATTCTCCTGCCTCTTAAACATTTTAGTGTCTCACTAAATGGGTGATGCCTACCCATGAAACTGCATGACGTGGACCAGGTGTATATACTCATGTAGTTGATACAAAAGACTCCCATTGAGGTAAAGGAATGCTGAATTACTGGAGAGGACCCATGTAGAAACAAAGTCTCCATGCAAGAAGCTGGCAGTTCGTAAATAGTTTAAGTTATATCCTGTCCTTGCAGTCAGAACTTGCACCTGGTGATCTCAGGACAGAATTTGATACTGTAAAGACAAATGATTCAAAGGTAAACTAAAACTAGAAAGCTAGCAGCGATGTGCAGGCAGCATTCCAGAAATTTCATACCTATTCATAGATAAATACCTTCAGGGAAGTCTACTTACTACTGAACAACTGATCTATATGAATTAATCATGTGAAATAGATGTTCATTTGTTTTTCAATTAATAACTGGTCAGTGAAATGTCTGTGGATGCTTCTTAATGTAGATAAAGGGCACCAGGAATTAGAAAACCTGATTACAAAAAGATTACAGCCCTTAATTTAATTGAGCATTGCATACCTATCTAATAAGAAAATATTTGCAATTTTTTAACAGATAACTCCATCAGGCTATTCAGAGAGTTTCTGCAAAGATGGACATTATAGGAATCCAAATAAGCCTCAGCTTGAACATGATACAACTGGCAAACACTTTGGCAGAATAGGGATGAGTGAACATGAAACAGAAGAGATGAACTTGCTCACATCTTTTTTAAGAGAAAATAGAACATCTGTACTTGAATCTACGTAAGTATGAGAGAGATGCACTGCTTTTGACAGTATTTCTATTTGAGAAGAGAATAAAGTAATTTTGCTAAAGTGAATTTAGATAATGGCACTGTCTAATTTACCTGAGAGATTGGCAAGGCGCCTTCAGAGCCATTTTAGTCTATCATGCAATTAAGTAATTAGGAAATATACTATCAGTAGAAATCCTTATGAAAAAACCATTATAAGAAAAAAAAAACCTCCCCAAAGTTATTGATACATGGAGCTTTACTGTACAGAGGAATGTTTTCAGAGCGGGGACTAGCAGTGCTAAAGGACTCAGATGATAACACATGCTACTGCTTTCTGTTTTTATTTATTTATTTTTTTTGTTTTGTTCTCAATGATACTAAAATAGCTGAAAACACAGGGCAGTAAATGATGGTGTGCTGAAGGGAGTGAATCCATATTGCTTAGAAGGGGTATGAATGAGAAATTATGGACGGTGGAAATGGAGTTACAGTGACTGGAGGGTTAATTCTGATTAGACATTGCTGGTACCCTTTGTGGCCTCTGTCTTTTCTGTTTGTGTTTATGTTATACTACAGTGCAGTCAGTTCCCAGCTGAAATGCAGGAACTGGACAATACCAAACAAAGTGTCTAGAAAACGCACCCTCATTAGGTTTTTTCCCTCCCATTTTATGCTTAAACCACTTAATCTTCTGGTTGAAAACTCAATTACAGCTTTCCTGGAGATCACTCTCATTTTTCTTTCTTTGTTCTTTCCACAGTGTTATGACTGTATACAGTATTGAATGACTTTTTCTTCCTGTGCCCATCAGTGTTATGCTTTCAGAGTAATGGCAATGACCTTCCATATACTGAGCACTCAGCAGTGCTGGTAGCAGAATTTCCTGTGGAGTTACACAAGTCAAATCCTATTCTGTGTTCAGCATGCACTGCAGCTGGCTTTACTCAAGCAGTTCTGTGTTTTTATATTACTGATCAGAACTCTCCAAGAGCTCCAATGATCTTAGCTGTCAAAGCACCAGTCAGTGATAAATGAGGGGGTTATTACTCATAGAATATGAACAGATAACATTGTTTTATTTGTTAACTTTACTTAAAAGTCTGCTAATGATTCCAACACCATCATCTTTAGCTCTCTAGTGTGTAATTTTTTCTGTATTCAGATATAAATGACCAGACTGGCTGGTGATGAGCCTGTACTTTGGGTAACTTAATTCTCACTAATGACATTAGATGCCAGACAGAGACATAAAGAGCCTAGTTAGTCTGTAGCACTTCAAATGCTAACTATATAAATACAGTTGTTTAAAATGCTAGTTTATATGTTTAGTGGCACAAACTGTTCTTTATTGGACACATGATATCATCTGTAGGATTTGAAGACTTGCTTATGCCTGAAGTGCAGCTTATTTGGCTTCAGTTTCATGTACAGTGTTGTTTTCAAAACTGTTGTCAATGGACGCTGGTGGTCTGTGAGGCAGTGCAGTGGTCTGTAGTGAGCTATTTCGGCAGGCTTTTGGCTGCTTTCTCCTTTTCCAGCTTCCATGTTACATTAGAAAAGCACAAAGGGACCCATTTAAGAAAAAAATCAACCTCTGGAGCCTCCTGTGTATTGGTGGGAGTTTTATTTTTCAAGTATTTAAATCCGAGAGTAAACTCATTTCAAAATACATTCCTGTTTCTTTTGCTGTTATGTAAACAATTAATTTAGTTACTAGAGGTTTACTAACTGTTCATGGATGAGGAGAGGGCTGGTAAAGCATATATGGTCATGAATAGAAGAAAAGTGTTGATGAGATAATTTGTGTTACAATTCACGCTGTGAAAATGTTTCAAAACCTCTGTTCATTAGTGAGTAATTCATTAGTGCATAAAATAAAGCCTCCCGGGAATTTCAAGTATGTCAAGACGCTGCAAAAGTGTTTCTTAGAAGGTGTTCTTGTTTGCTTAAATAAAAATCAAAATTCATGCCTTTTCCTTCCTCCTTCCTGAGTATAGCAGACAAGAACAAATGAAAACTGTAAATGAACTGTTAGATCATCTGAGCACAACTGAGCGAGAACATTCAAGTGAAGACACAGAGAAAGAGAATGAAGATCTTAGGCAAATGATCATTCAACTAAGAGCTGAACTCAAACATTTCAAGCAAGCCAATAAATTCTTAAAGCAGCAAGCAGAATTAAAATCAACTTTTGATGGGAAAGAGAAGCTTCATGCAGATGCGACGCCAGAGATTAATAAGGATATTGAGTTGCTGAAAGCAGAACTGAAAGATGCAGCTACACAAACAATGACTTTAGAGGAAAATGTCATGAGACTCAAATGTGAAGACAATAAAGGAGCCTCGGAAGGGAGAACAAAATATTCAAGATTAAATGCAGAAGGAGAACTTCAGCAGGAGAACGTGTGTAAGAGCGAACAGCATGAAAGAGGCTTTTTTTCAAGAACAACTGAAGTGAGTTTAAGATTCTCTTTTTAGTACCCAGGGAGTAGATGTACAAAGAGAAAAGTACGTGTCATTTCTAATATCAGGTTTTGCTTTTGTGTAATTTTTAAAATTAAAAAGAGAGATGTACACTAAATATATGTAAGGTAATTGTTCTTAATGTTCGGAGCTTTTCATCCTTCAGCATGCCTTAGAACATTAATGGAATTTCATTCCTCACTGGAACTAGGCACCAGTAAATATTGTAGCTGTTGGATAGAGGCATAGATTACAGCGTAGTGGCCTGATTCTGTGCTGCCTCGTATCTCAGTATAGATGCTCATAAAGTGCAGAACCAGGGTGTTCTGAACCTCTGGTTTATTAAGTGTAAGTAGCAAGTGAGATCTAGAAGACTTGTGTAATATCTCAGAGCACACAGGTGAAGCACTAATGGTGGATTTCAACAAACTCAAATCTTTCTTCTGTGCTTTTATGAACATCTTACCATCATGTCTCTCTCTTAGGGATGTCTGAAAGTTTTATAAACTGGGAGGTCAGTTCTTCGTATTTGTTTGGGGAACTAAGAGCACAGAATCTGCTTTGTGCACAGGCTTTGTTTGCTTGTGCCATTAAAGTTTTCAGGCCTTTCGCAGGCAGGTGCTCTGTGATCCCAAACAAAAAGGGGGCAAAGTAATGTCTACTAAAGGGTTCCTGCATATTGTTTCAGTAGCGAGTGGAGAGGCTAAGGTGAGAACTCTTTGAAGGTCTTGGAAGGGAGGCAAAGAAGAATCTTGTTGTTGATTTTGTGTGCTTCTAATAGAGAATGTTGTAGCACCTGCTGCAAAGAATGTTTTCTGTGACTTTAGTGATCAAGGGGTTGCTGACAGCTGGTGATTTTTGTTCTGGCTTGTTCTCCTTGTCTTCATTTCATTAAAAGAGGGTGCTTGTAAACCTAGAGGTGTTGTCTGTACTGGTGTAAGCAACTCGGTATGGTTTGGGACTTTAAGATTTTGTCATGCATTGTTGGTCCCTGGGAAACCCTATGGAGAATTCTTAGAATTCAAAACCCATGTATGCAGCTGACAGAAACAACATCTTGTTTCACTAATCGTTTTACACGTAATCAAACTATGTTTGTTTGCTGGCAGAGATTCAGTTACATTCCCAGACTTTCAAGCTTTCTGTCCTGCTTGCAATTTTTCTATCTTTTAAAAAATAAGTGGGTAGAAAAGATAATGATAACAGGAATGTTCTTAGGGCCATTGTAGGGAAGGTTTAGGTTAGATGTTAGCAGGGAATTCTTTACTCAGATGGCAGTGAGGCCGTGGCAGTGCTGCCCAGAGCAGTAGGTGCTCCATCCTTGGTGATGCCCAAGGCCAGGCTGGAGGGGGCCATGTGCAGCCTGAGCTGGGGACAGGATGCAGCAACCAGCCCACAGCTGGGAGTTGGAACTGCGTGATCTTTCAGGTCCCTTTCAACCCAACCCATTTGGTAATTCTGTGACTGTTAGTGTTTTTAGGCTGCTGGGCATTTAGTCAGCTGTGTTTGGCAGGCTGACTGTTTTGCCTCCATCTTTTGGCTGCTCTGACCAAGTCCTTTGGAGGCACGAAGGAACTGGTCTCTCTTTTTGGGGGCTGCCTAGAGCAGCTGGCTTTAGAAACACTTGAAGAGATGAGGGCAGCTGGTAACAAATAGTTAAGTTGCATTGGTGGGGGGAGGGCTTGGAGATCCCAGCTGGCCTATTAATGCAGATCTACTTGTGATGATTTGTGTAAAAGCACACATGGTAGCTTTGGTGTCACCTCTCAGGAACGAAGGACAGTCTTTCTGGAGGCAAATGGAGACCTGCCTGCCCCCTGTGAGAAATGCCAAGAGTTCTTTCTGCAACTCTGATCACTGTCACCTCTTTATTTCAAGTTCTTGTCTTTGTTAAATTTTGGCATGCTATTTTGATTCATCATTTGCCAGATGAGTTGCAACCTCAGCACTGGTTAAAATTCTTCCTGTTTGGTCTAATGCAATACACTGGTAAATCTGAATGGCTTTTATTTCATATAGCCTGCTGAATTGAACTTAGAGTAATCTGTGCAGTGTGTGTGTATATACAACAGCCCTGACACAGGTGGAAATAATTTGACACTATTAAGAGCATTTCAGTAAAACTAGAAAAGTTCATCTCAACAGGCTTTATTTTTCAGCTTCCAAATGATATTTGTATTCACGAACGTAGAAAACGAATTGAGGATGTCATTATGAAAATGGGACTTGCTTTTTATTATTTTAAATTGTGTAAAGACTATAATTGCTAAGAAATGAATGTGGAAAGGTATTTCAGAATACATTGGGTGGTAAAAGAAATTACAGGGCCTGATGATGCTGGTGGAGCAAATGAACAGCAAAAGAATAAACTAAATCTGTTTGAACATGCTATTATTGATTTTTATTACTATTATTACACACAATTCTATAACTTCCATCAACATATAGCATGTTTTTATCCTTCTGGAGATAGTGCTATCTTATGCTCTATGGCTTAACCAAGGCTGCATTTATTTTATGTGGTGTCTTCACAAGGTGAGCAGCTGACATGCTGTGATCTCCACTGAGAAATTGAGTTTCTCCTCCCAACTCCATTGATGGAATGTCAGTTACAGTAGGTGATGGAGTCCTGCAAGAGCGATGTATAGAGTGTGTGGGTGATAAAACTGTTCATGTTCATCAGTAATTTCTCTCAGGCAGAGCGCATTTCTTCTGCAGCTGATGCAGAGCTCTGTTCATTTGGTCGAAGGTTAGAAAGGGCTGGGGTGAGGTGTAGAGCCTGGAGGCAGAGGAAGAAAGGAAAATATGTTCAGGAATTTAGGAAAAATTAGAAAGATCTTCAAAACAAACAAAAAAAAAGGTTTTGAGGGAAACAATTGCTTGGCAGTCACATGTGGTACAAATCATTGGAGTGGGTACTAACAGAAGCCAGTGTGAGTAATAAGCTATTTTCCTAGGACACACAAAAATTTGAGGTCAATGACCTACTGACCAAAATCCTTTGTTTGGGTGAATTTGCTGTCTTACTTCATGGACTGGAAGCCATTCCAGTGGCTGTGGATGCATTAGCAGCACTCACTCAGAAAACTGAACCGGTGGAACAGAGATTTTGTTCTCACTGCATATTTGTTTTCCATGCAAGGGTGTTACAGTCTTATTTTCAAAACAATTTCATGTGACAGCTGACTGATATTGCTGGAAAATCTTTATTTTTCCTGCAATGCTTGTTTCTACTTCCCATACTTAACTGTTAACCTATTTTATTCAATGGCTTTTTCAGACTGATGCTGCTCATCTGCTGAGGAAGTCCCGGCTGCCCGTCCTGCTACGATCATCCAGACCAGTAGGAAATTGGCCTGTGAGCTCCTCTGTGCACAGGCTGCATTCAGCACTCTGGAATCACACCGGAGCACCCTATGAAGGTCTGAAGGCATGTGAGGTTCAAACCAAGCAACTTCAACCACAAGCAAATGGAGAGCTGCTATTGCACGAGTCTGGAACTGCAGACCTGCAAGAAGAGCCTGCACAGGAGAGCACATTAGTGACAGGTGAATAAGCAATTGTATTTAAAGAGCAGACATTACAGTGCTGCTTGAAATGGTGGATTCTTTCCTTGTGGAAAGTGAAAACAGGTCACTTTTACACACATCAAATGCTGCTTAAACTTAAGATCTTATTGAGTAGTGAGTTATATGTGTGTAGGTCTTGAGAAGCACTGTTGTTTTTTTTCTTTTAGTTGAATTTTTGCTGCTAGAATGTAAAACAGCTTTGTATGGAATAGGAAGCTCATTGCATATGTGGCATGAAGTGCAGAATAAATGGCAGTTTTGCAGGGTGCCCACATGTGCACACACACATGTCAGTGTTCAGGTAAATCAACACTTTCTTGCGTGGGCTTCCAAGTCTAATGAAAACTGTAACAGAGACAGGAGAATACAAAAATACTGTATTTGTTTATGCTGTGTAAATATATTTTTCCAATATTCCACTGATCAGTCAAGTCAGCCGTGTCAGTTTCCAGCGTGGCTGGGTTAATTTAAACTCACTTGTTGACAAAGTGTCTGCATCAGCAAAGTATGACAAATTTGTAAGGCAGAGAACAATGGGTACTATATAAAGATTTGGAGTGGTAAAGGAGAAATGCATTTAGTAAGGTTAGAACTGGGTAGAGATGTAAAGGACAACTGGGGGACAGAGAAGACATAAATGTAGGAAATAAGATTAAATCAAGTTCCAAGTGAACTGCTGTCAAAAGCAGAAGATGAGAGGCTTTGCGTTAAGGATAACATTATGGGATGGGTCAGGATATGGCATGAGTTAATTGTTAATGCTGAAGTTGATAAGACTGTAGCATTTAATTTTGATAGATGCAAATTCTATGGAGAAATCTGAGAGGGAAAGTGCTTTTGGACTGGTCCTGAAATGAATACTGCAGTGCTGAGATTTCTTTTCCATTCCTGTACAGGGATTCTTTATCCTGTAGAGGGTAATGGTTGTACTGCAGACTAATTCTGAGACTGGATGCAATGGAAGATTGCAGAGGAGCAGCAGACACACCTCTCAGCCTTTCTCTGGGTTTCACATGAGACATCTGAAAATGCACTAAAAATTGATTAGCAGTTATATTACAAATGGGACTTGCAAATCTTTGTTTTTATTCATTGTTAAGATGCTTTGGACATTCTTCAGTAGTTATTCTTGTAATTTAGTCAAGTGCTTTAAGAAATGTGAAACCTGTTGCATGCCACCAATAATATTTGTATCAGGTTTTCAGGAGTCGTTCCTTTCATGATTTTCCAGTTCTGACTTGTGAGATCAGGTTTGGATTTGTGGGTGTGTTTTTTTTTTTCCATTCACTTACTGCCTTCTGTTCCCTGCTCTGCTGCTCTCCAGGTGACTCATTCAGCAAAGCAGGCAGCACTGGGCCCCAGGTTGAATCACAGGATGCCGATACAGGGGGCAAGAAGGAATATGTGATGTACAGAAATCAGCAGAACTGTCAAGGTAGAGCATTTATAGGGGATAACAAAACAAAAGAAACTCTATTTTCTGCTAAGTTTTGCAATACTGTAATTTGCTGCAGGTAGCTGTCTCCTTTGTCATTGTTTGTGAGTTCTAAATCTTGCTTACTTGGCTAGTATGGATGAATTGCTCTAAGAATCCAAGTTAGTCTTTTAAGGGTTATGTTTTCAGAAGGGTCACAGGAATTCATAATCTGGATACCAGTAAAAACAGTGACTTGTGTGCCTAACCCTGATCTCTGCTGTTAACGTCCTTGCTTCTGAACACTGTTCTGTATTAAATACATACGTTTTTATATATTTATGCTTCTGCATCTACTTAAAAACTATTGGAATGAAGCAGTCGAATGACAGAATTTTGCTTATCTGAATTATTTGAAGGCGTTCAACTAGGTTGAAACATAATGAAATTATTTAATGAAAATGTAAATAGGCTTATTACTGTGTATCAGTCATTTATGGAGGGGCTTGAATAACGAAGTTAACCTGTTGTTCACAAGATAGAGGATATAGTCAATTTTGATCACATGGCTTTTTTTATTCATGAGTCCTTGAAGCCTGTCAGTCTGCAGGCTCATGCTCTGTGTGCATGGACACACGTACACACATAGGGCGTTTTAATTCTTAATGGACGGTGTTTCGTTAAAAGCTATAGGCCATATTCTAACCAGAAACATTTACTCCCCAAGTCAGGCTTGTAGAGTTTGAATTCATGTGGTACTTCAGTCCACAGCCCTTCTGCATCTCTTTCAACAGAAATAAACTACCAAGTCAAAGGGTTGTGCCTTTCAGGTAGAGGAGGAGGAAGAGAAGCGAATGAACTTCATGTTGCACCTCTTATTCACTGTGTCTTCTTGAATTCATACCTGAATGCTTTCTGAGAAGC